AATCCTGCCTGCAGGGTGTAATACGTATTTAGCACACAATGTGAAGGTCCAATAGGTAACAAACACAAACAGCATGCAAAACAGTTTCATTACTTGCAGGAGTTATGCATGCAGCAAAGTTTGTTTTGCAACTAATTAAGACTTCATGCAAAAAGGGTGTCACATCCTCCAGGCAATTTGACTATGTGTATAAAAGCATTTGCTACCTAGAACTCTTCTAATCACTTTTCTTAAACTCTTCTCCTTGGTGATCCAGGTAAGTCAATTTTTAATCAATTACTTATTGCTATCTAAATATTGTCCAATGATAGGTGAAACTTAGGAAACAGCAAGGGGGTATTCAGCCAGAAATAGCCTTTTTATTGTCCTTTAGTGTTTTACACTTCAGAGGTGAAAGATGGCATTTGCAAACTACGTTAGCGTTCAGGACAGCAGTTCATTTAAACCATGTATAGCATATGGGACACCCTCAGAACTCTAAAGAGTCTCAATTGAAGACTTGCATACATCCTTTTCATATTATAAAGACTAGATTTCATTAAAGAAGTTATTGATGAAAAAATATGCCATTGAAGAAATATAATCTTTGTATTCTTTTATATACAATTTTTATGTCTCCTCACTCTCAGCTGTCTCCAAGGAAGCTTCTTTTAACATCTGGAGAACTTGTCATAAATAATTTCAAAATCCTACAAAGCCTGTAACTTTTTTTTTCTGACTAAAAGGCCATTTTTCTGCTGGTTTTGTTTGAAACATATTTATAGTGTTGAGTTTTAAATCTAGAAGGAGCATACAAGTGCTCCTTTTCACCCCTTCTCAGGGATACTAGGTTGAGCTGAAAGACCTCTACCCTTAGACTGATCTGTAGTAAGAATTCTTTTTCCAAAGGCAAAACCAGTCATTTCAGATCCAGCTCTTTAGCTGGTATTGTTGTTGCCTTTTTCTTACCTTCAAGTCAAAGGCATAAGGTCAATTGGGAAAAGCTGAAGATGCAGCCCTCAGGGTTGGAGAAGGCAGCTATAGTGTGTACTAAAACAAGATGTTTAGACACATGAAACCACCTTTGAATTTTGTCTCCTGGGGTAATTGTGGGGACTCATTTGGGAAATCAGTTCAGGAAAATTTTTTATGCCAGCCCTTAGTCTCTTCTACATCAGTTTCCCAAAGATAAAGTGAAGGAAATTATCCCTTCTCCCTCACTCTGTCTGTTACTGAATTGTGCCTCATTAGTGTGGGCACAATTCAGGGCAAGGACATCTTGTTAATCTGTAATTATACAATGCCCAGGAAAATCTGGCCTTCATACCAGGTGTAGTTTTAAACAGCTGTGTGATTTCAAATATAAGATACTGTAATTTAGATGGTACATAATGTGTCTAATAAAAGATGGGTGGATCTCCATCCCAGATCATACTGCTCCACTTCTAATCAGGTGAGATGAGGCAAGTGGCTTCACCCCCTATGTTTTGGTTTGCCAGAGCAGTGAGGATTAAAATTGAAGTTTAAAAATTGGAGTTGAGTTTGGGTTGTGGCTTTCAGTACAGTTTGAATTGGTAATAGGAGTAAGAGAAGAAGAATAGACAAGCAATAGCAGAAGAGTGTTTCAGGATGAAAACAGTGGTGATCTGGAAAACATCATCATATATTGAAACAATGCCGTTCAAAAGGGTTATTTAGGAAGGAGATTTAGTGGGTGGAAAAAGGAAACTGGACAAACGTAACTATCACATGAACTGAGCAACTTCCCCTTTTCCCATCAACCATGACATCCAGCATGCAAATCTGTCTTCCCAAAATCTTGATGTCTCATACATAAACTTTTTGCTAGACTAACAACTGCCTTTTCTCCTCTCCCCTTCTTGTGTTACAGGGGTGGATCTGTCCCATGTCTCCCTACGAGTGCTGCCTGCCACCTGGGCTGGTATGCCCTGAGCCATTTGCCCTCACCTCCAATGAGACCTATGTCATAAAATACCCTGATACAATAATGGACATAGTGGAGCCTGACCTGCCAGTGTATTCCGTGATATATCCCGGCCCAACTCTCACCACTTTTCCTCAGCAAACCATAGTGGGATCTACTGCATTGTTCGATGTCAGAAACTTGCTTGGTTCCAGGGGATTTAATGGGTTTAGGGGTATGTGTGGTTCTGGGACAGTATGTAACTCATTTTATGATATAGGAAACTTTAATCCTTCTTTTCCTCACTTGTCCATACCCTTTTGTTATAGAACTTGCAGACCAACCTAAATCCTGCATGGATATCTGTGGATAAAGTGAAAAGCAGTACTGAACAATAAGAAAGATCACGACTAAGTTTATGGATAATGGATTATAGAAGTGCTGAGTTCCTACAGTTCCCAGTAGAGTCAATAAAGCATTGGCTTCCGGGCACTAGACCTGCATGAGGACTTGAATTTCCAAACTTCAAGAAACTGATTTTTCACTATTGATCTTATTCAAAATTAGAATGAAATAATAAAATAAATTAAAAAAAAATAGAAAATAGAATGCTCCAAGAAATGAGATTTAAAAAAAAAAAAAGGCAAAAACATTTTTGGTTTGAGAAAAATGTATTTCAATAAATTCAATTTTTTATGCCAACATTGACTTTCTATTAGCAATTTGTCCTGAAATGAAAACCACCAAATATTTCAAAATTAGATGACTAAAAATCTTGGGTTCCAAAATCAATTTTACCAAAATACACATTCATTTGTATATTTTGTGGAACCAGCATTTGCAATTAAAAAAAAAAAAAATCAGTGCTACTTGGCATTTCTTAAGACAAGGCATTTTGCAAGCCTTTCTTGTGCTTTATTTCTGCTTAGAGCCATGATGCAATGGTTTTCCATCTTATTTTTCTGCCTATACCTCATTTGATGCAAGCCAGGGCAAAAACAAATTCCAACTTCAAGCAATTGTAATAATAGGTATCTTCATAAAATAACTCAGCAAAGAAGAACATTCTGTGTAAAATCATGGAACTGGAGATTCATTGTAGACCCTCATGAAGTCCTGGAACTCTTCTGATTATATCCTATCCATCTCATTTTGCACATGTATATTCAGCTTCTCATTCCCATTAAATATTGCCATGCAGCATACACTTCTGGGGTTTCCTTTTGCTCTACATTTTATTTTTGAACCTTTGTGAGTACCACTATAAGAGGTGTTGTCACCTTCCTGAGACTCAATACTTATATCAGCATTAACTAAGTCACCACTCAATATTTATAAGCTTTTGCATGTTCTGAGACCTCAGCCAAACTGCAGAGAAGAAAGATGCTGCTGGCTCTGGAGGGTGCTTCGCCCTACTCAGTGGCGGGCCAGTACACCTCTGAAGCAGGTCACAGAAAGCTGGCAGACTCTGCAGCACAGAGCACTGCGAAACCTCCTCCCCACTCCTTCCCAGGCTCTTAAAGATGAAGAGATTTTAATTAATTGAAATATTAGGAGGAATTTCCCAGCCTATTTAAACAAGCGTGTAGATGAGGCCCTTAGTGACATGGTTCAGTGATGGACTTGACAGTGCTGCAGTAATGGTTGGACTTGATGATCTTAAATGTCTTTTTCAAACCAGTTATTTCTATGATTCTGTTCAAATAGAACAAATATTGACCAAATATGAACAGGCAGCAGCAGGGCACTATAACCCTTTCTCTGGGTCATTTCTTCGGGAGAATTTGTGCAAAAAAGGATCTGTAATGTGGATACATGCAAATTCATAGCACAAAGAATATATACTGGCCAGCATACAGTAATAGTTGGGACTAATGAGTTATTAGGCTGAGCATTAGACCTTTTCATCATTGTAATTCCCAGGGGACAGTTTCTAACAGCCTTTCCCATCGCCTAGGGTATTTTCTCCATATTAGTCTACTCAAGTTATTGGAGCCTGCAAATTAAACCTGCCACTTCTTTTCCCATAAATCAGACTCAACTCAGGTGGCTCCTATTCGATCCTTTCAGTAATAACAAATATAGTTTTCAAAATACTTCATAAGCATTAATTATATTTGTACACATGCGGAGCATTGCGAAACTAAGCCTCTGCCTTCAGATTTAGACAACCAAGGTGTTTGTTGAGCAACACCTTCAATTTAGAAATACACGCATGAGCTTATTTTTTTTTTTAGTTTTAAAGAAATCACCCCAATGCTTTGTTCTAAAGGTCATGGGACAAATCCCAAGGGAGTGGAAATCAGACATCTTGCCTTCCTTCAGCAATGAAGTATGCACTATGCTCAGTTTGCTCAGCTCAGAATCATAGACTCAACCAGGTTGAAAAAACCTTTAAGCTCACCGAGTGCCACCGTTCTTCCAGCACTGTCAAGGCCACCACTAAACCATGTCACTGAGGGCCTCATCTACACAGTGTGTGAAGATTTCCAGGGACAATGACTCCACCACTGCCCTGGGCAGCCTGTTCCAATGCCTTTCAGTGAAGGAATTGTTCCTAATATCCATCCTAAACCTCCCCTGGTGCAGCTTGAGGTTGTTATTCATGTCTTTTGAATATCAGTGCCCTGTAACAGTCTAGCCCCATGAATGGGTCTCCAGCTGTGGTGAATTTAATAGCAGATCAGCAAGCCAAACGCTAATAGCTACCATCCACCACTAAAGTTACACCAGTGTTTACCACCACCACACTTGTCCTAAAGATTTAGGTGCTTGTTGCAGTGTCATGATGGAGGACCCCTGCTCATTTGGATGTAGATTATGTCTGTCTTTTCTTTCTCCTTCCCTAAGGTTCTGTGTAAAACCTGTGCTGGTCAACATAACCATGAATTACCCGACATACATGTGCCACGTGTAATTTTGCTGTGAATACACTCCACTGCTATGTGGCTCAGGCCTTTGGGCAATAGACATGCTATAAAGGAGGGCAGGCACGTGCAGCAGTGATGGAAAGCTCCACATGGCTGTAATCTACAGGAAGGGGAAGGATTACAGGGTCCCAGACTGTGTACTAGAAGTCTGGTTTCCCTACAGCCTGGGTTCCTTACAGCCTGGGTTTTGATTTAATCAGATTTATACTCCCAGCTACCTCTAACATGTGGAATGCCTCTCTGAGGGTCAGCCAGGGCAAAGTCATTTACTCGGAAATCTCCAAGTGTCCTCAAGGAAAGAGTTTCGAAATACTTCGTAAGTGCTTTGTATTGATTTACATTGGCAAAGTGCTTATTATAAAGTTAATATCATGTAACTCCATTTGGATGTCCTGGAATCAGATCTTTACTATAAAGTAGCTCTTCATTTAGATCTGATAAGCCTTGAATGTGCAAAGGGATTGTTCATCATCTCAAAAACTTTCCCATGTGCAGACTCCCCATTCCCTATTGTCCACATCATCCCTCTCTTTCCCTCTCTAGTTTCAGAGAGCTTCTCCTATGTGCAGGATCAGGATAGAGTGTTCTTAAATTCTCGTCATTTCTTGCTCATTTTCTAAATTCATATCTTTTACATTGTTGGGCTGTTCAGCCTGGAGAAGACTGCATGGAGATCTCACAGCAGTCTTCCAATACCTGAAGGGGGCCTAAAAGGATGCCAGACAAAGACCCTTCATCAGGGATTGTAGTGATAGGACAAGGGGTAATGGGTTTAAACTTAAAGAGGGGAAGTCCAGGTTAGATATAAGGAAGAAGTTCTTTACTGTGAGGGTGATGAGGCACTGGAACAGGTTGCCCAGGGAAGTGGTAAGTGCTCCATCCCTGACAGTGCTCAAGGCCAGGCTGGACAGAGCCTTGGGCGACATGGTCTAGTGTGAGGCATCCTTGCCCATGGCAGGGTGTTGGAACTAGATGATCTGAAGGTCCTTTCCAACCCAAACCATTCCATGATTTTATGATTCTGCGTTTGTTCATACCAAGTTTTTGGTCTGCCCTCTCAAGGAACCTTCCAGCAATAACACCTACCTACAGTTATATATAGAAGAAAAGTTCAAAATCCTGATCTCAAACATGTTTCTGCCTTTCCCACACAAAAGATTGGAGCAAATAAAGAGGATGAATCAAAACTTTTCTTGTCAGACTCCTTACATTCAAATATCAAGTAATAACATCACTTTAAATTACACATAAAATCTTCATTCTTGATACATTGTTAATACAGTCATCATTAGTTCTATACCTTGACCTGTAAGTACTTCAATTCCCATTAAAATTCAGACCCCCGGGGCAGATATGTGAGAGCAGAGGTCTGTGCTGGACAGCATTTCTCACCCTCTAACCAGCAGAAGCCTGAGGTCTGCCAGGGAGGACACAGGATGAATCACATCAGATTTAGCTGCTACACCCACAGATTGCTAAAAATACTTCATTCATTCTCCTGCACGATTTGTTTACATTCCTGTGGTTTTTTCCTGATTAAATAACTTCAAATTTCCATGCCATAAATTGTCCTTAAAATTTGAGATGAATGAATGTGTGGGATTCCCCTGCAGGGTTAAAATTCACTTGTTAAGTATATCCTGTTGACGGCTGAGCACAAATACTTTCAAAGAACTTTGTGAAGGCTGTACAACATCTTCTACAGGCACCACACTATGGTATTAGAAATCACCAGTGTTTCAGCAAGCTCTGATACCACACAACTCAAAACTATCCTTTCTTCTTATACATCAAGACTGATTCTGTATGTTGGCTACGCATTAAGAAATAACTGTGCTTTAAGTCAACATCTAAAATCTGCACACTGTATTTTAGATAACATGATTGAAAATGACAGATTTTAAAGCTTAATAAAGCAAACCTGTGCCAGATGAAGATCTAATTCTGCATTTCTAACATTTTCTTATGTCTGCCATCCAACCTCTCATTTAAAGCAGGATCAGCTCTGAATTCAGACCATAATGCTGAGGGTTCCCTTCATGGGCAATTTTTTCCTCCTGTTTATATAGAATAACGGAATGATTTGGGTTGGAAAGGACTTTAAGATTATCTAGTTCCAACACCCCACCATGGGAAGGGACTCTTCACACTAGACCATGTCGCCCAAGGCTCTGTCCAACCTAGCCTTGAACACTGTCAGGGATGGGGCAGCCACAGCTTCTCTGGGCAACCTGTTCCAGTGCCTCACCACTCTCACAGTAAAGAACTTCTTCCTTTTAACTAACCTGGACTTGCCCAGATTTATCAATCTGAACCCCTCTTGTTTCAGTTTATTATTTATTGTTATCTCCATTCATTCCCCTGCCATACATCTTCTCAAATGGCCCAGCTTTATCTTCTCTTTAACTTGTGCTCACCTGGAATGACAGTTCAGCCTTTAACTTTTGTGCCGTCCATTTCTGATCTATAAATGGTGACAACAGCTCCTTCCTCATTTCTTGTCAGACTGATGTTCTGAGATCTGATCCAATTCAGGGAACATCCCTTATGTTGCTATTTCATAGCCAACACAATGTAGCCTTCATTTTAATTGTGACATTACAGGTAACATAAAGCTGATTTATACAGTTATAACCCAGCCTGGTTTGCTCCTTATCTATCTCTAGGAAACCAGCCAGCATCTTCAGCATCCATAATTATATGCATATTGACAAAAGATAACAATTCTCTGAAGGCAAGGGCTTACACACAACAGAAGGAAAACAGTTTGCTACCTCCTGCCTAATGCCATACAATGAAGAGTTGAGGTGGGTGCTTGGGAAGTGAGTAATTAAAAAAAAAAAAACAACCTCAAGACTTAAAAGGAAAGTGAGGCAGGTTGTGTAATGTCATCTGGGGCAACCAGAGGGAGCTGTGGAGACCAAATCTTACAGAGCTAACTCAGCATCTTGTGACTTTTCATCTGCATGACTCGGGTTTCCACCTATAAACCAAGAAACAGGATTAACAATAGATAAAAATCATGCTGTGATCAGGGAGAGCATACAACATAGGTATACTCCAAATAGATCTTACAACATCTAAATAATTTCAGTTGCTTTCTTGCCCTGAACAAGCTAGCATCCTGATTTTCTTGTATTACAATACATTTCACTACTGTTCTCATAAGCACATAGTGAGGGTGGTGTCTGCCTTCTGCCCTACATTATGACCTTCCCTTCTGTGCGCCTTCAAAATTTCTTTCTTCTAAGTTTATTATGCCAAATGATAAGGTTTTTGACAGTTTTGCCATTTTTCAGTATACAAGATTTAGTTTTATCCCAGCTAGAAGTGAGGAAAAAAAGTTAAAGTCCTGGGTCTCCAACTGTATTTTGGGTTTTTTTGCTGGTCTGCTAAGCCCCAGGTACCTGTGGTAAAGACAAAGCTGGGGTGCGTCCCAGCCCTCCACACTTGTGAGGATCTGAGAAGGCTGGAAAGCCTTCCAGAAGCCAGCCAGCAATTGCACACATCATGAAGCCATCATACAAGAAAGTTTTACCCACAAAATGTTATCAAAAGACCTTCAGAAAAGCCTCTGTTCTCTTAAAATGGCAAATATGCTGGAGAAGACCATCCTTCATCCTCTTATGTACCCAGTCCACGAATTACTTTTTTTCTAGTAGCTGTAGTTCTGTTAAATCATGCTCCTTCTGCCATAAATTAGGATTTATGAGGTGTTTCTGGAAACACCCTGCATAATTAAACACCATGGGAATGTTTTGAGGACTGAAAGTGTTTCACAAACATTTATTAATGCATTGCCTATGCAAATAGTTATATTATCATAATAGCTGTAGGTGACGCCTAGTGTTGGGCAATAGTATCACCTTAAAGGAGATTTATCAAGGTCATTTCTGGCATTGTCCTAATTAGGCTGTGATTCACTGCCTCAAATTTTGGCTTATTCAACTTTCTCTTGCAGTTTGCATAAAATCAGAAAGCCAAAGCTTCCGATAGTGCAAGAACTGGTGGATCTATACGCTACTACATAACTATTGCTACCAATCTGTACCTATATTTCAGTTCACACTTGTCTAATGGGCAGAATTCTTGCTGATATAGTATGTGTTCAGATGACGTAAGCAAGTAGAGCGTCTTTGAAGTGAAGAGAATGAATGTTGCAGACCTGCATCAGCAGAGCATGCATCCCCAAGCCTTTTCCTTTGATTACTTCTTCATTAGCAAATGCTCCTGACTCAGCTTTACAAACAAAACTTCTGTGCTCTGAAGTTCAACTGGTTTGACCACATAAACCGTATCTTAGCTAGGCAACAGCCATTATTACTGCTGTCCCTGTCTTACACAAGGATATAATTTTCTAAAACAATTTAAAATTAATAGGCACCAACAATATTAACATTCTATATTGTGGTGTATGCAGTCTGCATTATTCTCTGCACTTTATTGACTTTATTACATTTCTTGGTCACTCTATGGCAGTTAGTACTAAACAGAGCACTAGACACAAACTGCAGGGGGAGTAGAAGAAGCGGAGAAGAGAAAATTTTGCGTAGGATTGCTACATTATGGGAGAATTCTGAAAACTGAATTAGTTTGTAGTCAAGGGATTTTATCTTAATATGACAGCAAGGATTCAGCTCCAAGTTGTGCCATGGATCTCCTAAATGCCACAGAGTTCAAGTGAGAGAAGAACCCCGAGTGCTTTGCTAGAATCCTTTAATAGGGGTGACTTTCATACTTGCTGTATGTGCATAAATACAGATGTTTTGAACTGAGAGTTTCGATGTGAACCTTGGAGGGGAGATGTCAGGCCTTGAGCAACCTGGTCTAGTGGGAGGTGTCCCTGTCCATGGCAGGGGTTGTAAATGGATGATCTTAAGTCCTTTCTGACCCAAACCATTCTATGATTCTAAGATTCTGTATCTTCCAGCGAGGAATTACCAAAAACTTAGAACCAAGAAGCACTGATAACTTAGGGAGGGGAAGAAAAATAATCTGGACTGTATTTTTAGCTACACTGTGAGCTCCTTTGACATATGACATTCATTCTACCTTGTTAGGATCAAACCATGAAAATCTGAGGCCAGCTCTGCCACAGCACGTAGCAACAGGCTGAACATTACCCCATCTGCTACTGATTGACTCACCTCCGCCCCTCTGCACATGGTGATGGGAGGCTCCCATGCACACAGTGGCTCCCTCCAGTGGCAGAGGCTACTGGGAGGAACTTGTCTAAGTGCTCATGCAGTACACCCATATTCCCAGAAATCCCTTCACCACACTCACTCTTCCCACTGGAAGGAAGTTTCATGCACCAAAATGCCAAACACATTTAAATTAATTAAATCCATCAGCATCATGGTGTTTATGACACAATGCATTTATGACATTAATTATTCTTATTTTATATGGAGCCCATAAAGATCCCCTGGGCTGTGGAGCTTATCAGGAATATTCTGAAGACATCAGGAAATGAGATTCCAAAAGAAGTTCACAAACATCTGTTACTATGGCATACATGAAAATTATTTTAATAGCAATAATATCCCAGTGGATTTAGACTGCTCTGACCTATGCGTCTGAAATATGAAAAACATTCAATCTACTCATTTTAAGCTTCATAATTGGAGATGGCTTCATCTTTATTTAAAAGATAAATCTGTGACAGTTTTGCTCTTTAAAGTTTTTGCACCAGATACTTCCCTGGCTAAAGAACACATCCGTAAACCTTATTAACATTATATCAGATGAAAAACAAGCTCTGTCTTTCTAGAGATTTATCTAAGCATGGAGATATTTACTAGATGTTAGCTTATATTTCCAATAAGGAAATCTTGTGTATGTTGCCACACTGTGCATTGCCATCTCCGAGGCTCCCCGTGTAGTTGTTTTTTTAGCAAAGATAAGTCACCAGAAGCCTATTAATCCTTACTGCATTTTTAATTCTTAATGAAATCAGTAGAGTAAAACCAGGAAATTTCAAGATTAAAAGAACTTGCAAGTTACCATCTGCATTTTGTGTTATTACCCAACTCAGCTTCAGATAATCATAAACAGTGAACAAAACAATTACTGCAACTACAGCAGTAATACATGCAACAGGGTTTGGTTCATAAGTAATTAAGGCCTTTATACAAAGGGTGTCTCAGCTCCTCCAGGCAATCTAAGAAAGGGTATAAATACTCTCTCCATGAAAGTTTTTTCTAACTGCTTCTCTTGACTTGTTCTCTCCGGTGCGCTGAGTAAGTCTGATTTGACAACTATAAAAACCTTGAGTTTCATTTTGCTTTATCATGAATTTTTTGTTAAAATTGGGACTAAATCCTGCATAAATATTCTGGCTCTCAGGGACATTAGTAAGCATCTTTCAGCAGAGGCTTTCTATACTAGATGAAAGATCCAAAAATAAAAGGGCTTCTCCAGACTGCTTTGGGCTGTTAATTTCATGGGGGAATTGGGAATTTTAGTCTTAGTCCTGAAATATTTTCAACAGAGCTCTGAGAACAAATTTTGCCTTTGTTTCGGCTTATCTGGTTTACAAGGGGGGTTGAGCAGCTGTTAGGTGGGTGATTTCACAGATAACTATTGAAGTAAAAATCCTTGTTCAAAGTTAGTTTTGTGTAGCTCTAGAAGTGCAGCGTTGCTGCTGTTCATAACCTAGCCATCCTTAGCCAAGTGGAGTCACAACAAGCTACACCAAGTGATTATTAGCTATTATCATTTAATGTAGCAGTGGGAATAAGCATTCATTTCTATTAAAACTCCACTAGTATTTCAATGTGTTTTAACTGAGATTAAATTAAGCAATTTTTAAGCTAAATTTGTGTTCAGCTTTTGGGGTAAAATGCTATGCATGTTTTTTGCCTTCTATTTTGTTTTTTCTCCCCAGAATGAAACATTTCAGGATAGATTTGCTTTGCTCTGAGTTGAGACAAGTAAACAGATCAAGGAGCTCAGCAGCAATTCCCCTGAGCCAACACTTTGCTAGAACCTGGTGCAAAATAGCACTGAGCTTCTGAAGTAAAGTTGTTTTCAGGATGTTTTTACTGTATGTTTGGCAATAAAGTAGCTTATTTATCAGAAAGTATTGCTGGCTACGTATTTTGGATCCTGTATTTTACCTCTCCATAGGTAAGACTGGCTGATTTCAGAGATTAGCTCCAAATTGCCCACTATCAGCCTTAGAAACTTCCTGCATTTTCTGTTAACTATTTCTAAGGAGAGCTGCAAGGCTGCCTGAAGCCTTACTTTTGTCTTCCAAATGTTCTCAAGGACAGGAGCACACAGGACTTAACTGGGAGTAAAATAATACTTTTTCCTTATTCATCATAATAAGGCATCTTTGATTTACAAGCTTAAAATACAATGCAATGCTATACAATGGAGAACTAGTTTCTATGTGAAGAGTTAACCTAGAAAAATAAATAAACAGTATGAAATGTGTTTAACCTTAACTGAAGCTGAAGTTTTCTTATTTGGGCTGACAATATTTTAAGTTATGTGTCCATATATTTTTATGGACAGTATTTTTACCAGTATTTTTAAGCCCCCAGTTATTCTTACCTTACATTTTTCTGTGTTTTAGTGGAACACTTTAGCACCTGAAAAGAACAGGAATCTGCAAGGAAAATCATGTAGGAAATTAAACAGGCTGCTAAAGAGATGATTCAACACCCAAAGTTATTAAAAAACCCGGATCTTTTTCGCCTTGCTCCCTTATGCTCCATCTACAAAACACAGGCTGAGAAGCTGTGTGGGAGGAAAAGAAATGCTGTGGGAACTAGTTCAAACTTGTCTCTGGGAAACATTACAAAGGGCTGGGAGGTTTTAGAGCAGATGTCAGTTTTGGAGACGGCACACAAAGAAAAGGGAGGGGTTTTGCTCTCCCAGAGCAAAAGAAAGAAAGAGGGCAAGCTTGAAGTAGCTTAGAAAGGCCAAACAGATACAAGCTAAGTGAAAGGTGGTGGATAGCGTGAAAGGAACTTAACTACTGTCTTTAGACAAATTATCTCTGTCTAAAGATCTCTCGGAACTACTCTTTGAAGTGTCAATAACCAAGTGCATAGATTTTTATTGCTTTTACTAATTGTGCAAATAAATTGCAGGCTTTCTCTTACCACGGCCAGGCAATGGCTTCTGAGCAGCTGGCATGCACCAACCCCTGCGATGCCAAGTGTCCCCAACCCCTGGCCACCAGCAGCAACGAGCCCTGCGTCGTGGCCTGTGGTGACTCCAGGGTGATCATATACCCACCCCCCGTCGTTGTCACCTTCCCAGGGCCCATCCTCACCACCTACCCGCAGCAAACCGTCGTGGGAGCCTCGGAGCCCTCAGAGGTGGCCCTAGCAGAGGCTCCCACCGCAGCACCTCTGCCAGCGGAGACGATGGGGAGGCTGGAGGCAGCAACTGAGAAAGTTGCACCCCAAGTCATCGCCCGACCTGAGCCACGGTGTGCCCCAAAATACTCCTACACCTATTCTTCCCAATGGACACATCCATGCAATTCGTACCGCTCTGGGAAGCGGTGGACATACTGAGGTGTGCACAGAGTGGTTTAAAGAAGCAGCAAAGGAAAATCAAGATGCAAACTGGGGGTGGAGCTGATGGGCACCAGCCCCAGTGTTGGGTGGTGTCTGGCTGCAAATGAGAGCTGCGAATGCTCAGCACCCGTGAAAGGCAGGTTCATGTGTGCATTTTCTCATTTTGCCTTTAGTTTAGATCTGTTATTCTCTGTTATTCTAAAGATGACTTTAGTCATCTGCTTACATTGTGCTTTGTCTTATTTCAGTTATATTATTGACACTGAACTTAGAGCGGTGACTTAGAATGCTAGAAATTGCACACAGCAACTGTGCCAAGGAAGAAAACCCATTTTTTATAGACTGCATCACTTTGACCCTGGTGATTACAGAACCTCACTGATCCCTTGGAAAGATGGTGTTTAAATTCTGTACAATTTTGCTCCAGAATTGTAGAAAAGCTGTCATTTTCCAAATAAATTTTCTGTACCAAAGTCTGCCTGCTAGTTTTCATTATCACATAATTATTTCCTTCTTCTTTTACTTATCGATTGAGTATATAGTAAATTTATCCTCGATCATAGGTTTTCCATGTTTATTCTTCAAGTGCAAAGGTTACAAAATCTCAGGAATACTTTTCTACATAATGCCATTAGATACGTGCTGATCATTTGACACTTCCCCAGGACCAGCCCGAGTCTCTGGAAGTTGCCACTTGCAATAGCAATCCCTGCAAGGCCTCAGGTAATGCTCCAGGTGCTAATTTGACACTTCCATCTCAGGACAGAGCAACTTTTCCAGCCTAAAGCAAGATGTGGATATTGCAGTGCAGCCAGAAGGGTGCAGAAATGCAGAGCCCACACATGTCCTCCTGACACATTCTGCAGAGCTTCCCTGAGGTCGCAGGGGGAAGGATGCCCTCAAGCTGCCCACAGATGACAGCACTCATGAATGCACCAGCCCCATTACATGGCGAATGCTCAATGCATCATGCCAAGCATCACGACTGGGTGGGAAGAGGGTGCGGAATAGGAACAGGAAAGGAATATTCCACTGGTTTAACTTTCATTCCTCTATAGACCAAAAAAAAAAAAGATTTCACCTTTGAAATCTGTCTTTTGTAATGAAGCTCATGATTTGCTAGGACATCCCTCCCTTGCAGTTCAAAACTCTTTTCTGAGAGAAATTCAGAGCTTCCACAAATGTGATAAGCAGATTAGTGTTGATGTAATATTTCACATCATCGCTCTAGAATTATTGCTCACATTATTGATCTCGAAATAGTAACAGCAAAGTGAAGAATAAATTCAGACAAAACCTAATTCTTCACGGCTTAAGGGCTCATTCATGCGGGTGGAAAATGCAATGGAAAATGTGAGCAAGAAAAAAACAAACAAACAAATAAAAAAAAAAACAGAAACAATGCCTGGAAAAACAAAAATCCTGAAGCTGCAACAAGCATGTTGTGTCCAAGGTGTCCAAGCTTTGAATTCCAGAAGAGTTCAAGGGATGTCCTTCCTTAAGGCATTATGTGGAGATGTACCACAGGCTTTCCTGGAGCTCTATGTCATCTGCAGCTGGAGCCACCTGCGGATTAGCAGCTCCCACAGCTGGCACCAAAGGACATGAGGCCTCGGCCCCAGCCACCATATCCTCCACAGCTACCATAGCCTCCATAGCCACCATAGCCACCAAGGCCTCCATAGCCCCCATAGCCACTATAACCTCCATAGCCACCACGGCCTCCATAACTGCCACCGTAGCCCCCAGCAATGGCAGGGACTCCCGCTGAGCCCACAGCACTGTGCTGAGGGAAGGAGCTGAGGATGGGTCCAGGGAAGGTGACCACCGTGGCTGGGGGCTGGATCACCACTGTGGAGCTCTGGCACTGACGCACGCAGGGCTCGTTGGTGGTGTCAGCCACTGGGCACGGGGCGGCCACCCCACAGGAAGGGGCACACAGGCTGGAGCAGGACATCTTTCAGGCAGGTACGGAGTCCTGGAAAATGCACCAGGGATTAGGCAAGGGTGAGGACAAGAAACTCTGTCAAGGGAGGCAGGGAGAGATCTGCAAGAGGCTCTCAAGAGCTGCACTTACCTGGTTGATCAGGAGAGTCAAGAGCAGGAATCTGGATAGAGGCTGTGAGGCTTTCAGCTCTTTTATACATGCCCCAGAGTGCCTGGGGCATTGGCTAGGGGATGTGGGTAAAATCCACAAGGACTCATGGAGCCCAGTAGACAAACTTTATGACACATATAATCACATATAAACGCAAACTTTATGACACAAGTAACTCTTGGCCCTCTTTACTTGGGTCAGTGGTGTGTGAAGGGGCCCTGGAGTGCATACGCATGATGGGATATGAAACTGCATATTCCAGGATAGACAAGGTGCTGCTGCAGCTGACATTGCAGCATCAATAAACAGAGGTCTGTCATTAATCCGCCACTTTTCCTATGTGGAAGAGTCACAGGCATATTTCAGAAGATTGTGTGACCCACCATACAGTTCTGTGGCAGCAGTTCCATTGCTGAGTGAGCCAGCAGTGCCCAACGTGCCTGTGATTGTGGGGAGCGTGGCCATGTGAACTCTAGCACTCTGTGGGTACTCACCAGGTTCTCATTCTGCAGCCCTCAATGTCCACCTGAGAATTGAGTCCATCCATAGAGGGCTTAAAGAGGACCACCCCCACAGACATGCAGCTGAGGAAGCTGGGGGAGTCCTAATTCCCTTCCTGACCTAATGACCCTCCCTACGCTTCTCCCTCTCACATGTGACCCTGGTGCCAAATCGCACTGCTCCCCAAAAACATCACTGTTGAGCTCCCAGTGTGCCTTGGGACAAGCTTTTCCTTGCCCCACATAGGAAAGGCAGCTCCTACTCTTAGAATACCTATCAAGTAGTGATGCTTATTCACACCGTGACAAAAAAGATCAAAGAGATGAATATGGGATGCTCCTGTCTTGATGCCCCAAAACAGGAACTGGAAGATGATGGTCATTTGGGATTTATTCTGAGCATATGGAATGGCTTCTGTTTTCACCCAACTTCCCAATACCTCCATTGATCACCTTGTAAAAGAGAGGTAATGACAGGCTTGATGGCTGTGCCCAGGATTGCAAAGCACTTCTGCAAGGTGCCCAAGACTCCAACACATGAGCAAAGTGGGAGGATTAGGGATCGATCAGCATTTATTGGTGCCATGAGGTCAGCTACAGCATCACATCTTTCATGTCATGGTGTGTCATTGTCCCTCCCACTAACTGTTTGTTCCCCAGGTCACCTTTGATTGCTACTCTAACCTATGAGGACGGATTCACTTTGTTTCACGAGGCATCACTGATTGATTTCATCATTAGCTGGGGCTTCTGTCCCTGGGCATTGCCACTGCCCCAGGCAGTCTTGAGTATGTATAAAAGCTGAGGGCTTCACAGCTCTCTATCCTGCTTCATTCATTCCTGATCATTGTGGTAAGTCCAAGACTTATGTCCCTCTTTCCTCCTTCAGCTCTGTCTTCCTCTGTCTCCTGTAATCCCATTTCTTCACAAATAGTTACGATCTGATAGCGCTCTCTCATAAGCAGGGAAAGGCTAAGGATTTAAACTTCCATCTGAGATCCATAGGGAATAATAATGCACCTTTAGATCTCATTGATTGGCAACCTTCATTTGTTGAGGGGGCTTTTCTTCTTTCCTATGGGTGGGACAGGCTGAAGAAATGTGTGGGAGAGCAAGGGCTTTTCAGCATCAAGTCCACTGGGGAATGGGACTTTGCTTTGACTGCCTGAAATGATCCAGGCCTGTCCTGGAGCAGAGGTTGCAACTGCAGGAGTGAGGAGGGATTTGGGGTTATGCCTTGGACTGCACCGTAACTCTCCCATCTCTTGCAGCTTAACCTCCCAAAGACAAGAATGGCCTGCTCCAGCCTGTGTGCCCCTTCCTGTGGGGTGGCTGCCCCACGCCCCCTGGCTGACACCACCAACGAGCCCTGCGTGCGTCAGTGCCAGAGCTCCTCGGTGATGATCCAGCCCCCAGCCACGGTGGTCACCTTCCCCGGACCCATCCTCAGCTCCTTCCCTCAGCACAGCGTTGTGGGCTCAGCGGGAGTCCCTGCTATTGCTGGGGGCTCTGGCGGCAGTTATGGAGGCCATGGTGGTTATGGAGGTTATGGTGGCCACGGGGGTTATGGAGGCCTTGGTGGCCTTGGCGGTTACGGAGGCTTCGGTGGCTGCGGAGGTTATGGCGGCTGGGGCCGAGGCCTCGCGTCCTTTGGCGCAGGCTGCGGGATCTGCTAAGCCCCACCTAGTGCCGGCCAGAGATGACACAGAGCTCCAAGAAAGACCTTGACGTATCCCAACATGATGTTGCCCATTGGAAGAGCATACCTTCATCACTGCTGGAATCCAGGCTTGGATGCCTCGTGCCTTCTTGTTGTCCAAATTTGCCTCCCTCCTGCTCTGCTTGAGCACCCTTTCAAGAGACTGGCTACCCCTGATGACAGAGACCCGCACTGAGCACCTGCTCCTACAGCATGGTTTATGCTCTTTGTTTCTCGGTCCACTCCCTGGAAATGTGGGCTGACCTTGGTTGGGGCCCTGCTCTTGCCCAACTCTTTACCCCTCTTAAACTGCAATAAATTCTGTGCTGCACTGCAACGTCGAGCCTTGTGTTTTCCTGATCCTTGCTTCTTTCAACGTGCACTAAGCCTCTGAGCATGTTGACCCGCACTGTTTGTATTTCTCATGTTGTGCCATTTGGTTACTTTGCTCGGTTTGTTCTGATTGATGATGACCGTCACAGATGGGTATCCTAGAGCACTATCCAGTGAGCTCTCTCTGGTCTCCCAACAGCAATGAACACCAAATTTTGCCTATGCCTTTTTGGAAGATACGAAGGAGACAGAGGGTTATGGAGGAAGATCTTTCAAATCCTCCTCAAAAGTGGCATGCTTCCATTGCCTCCTTCTGTTGCCTTGTTACTGGTCATATTGGGATGTCCAGGGAAAATGAAGAGGATACCTGTGCATTCACAGTGCTCTTGCCACACGTTGGACTTGTGCCCATGCCCAAATAGTGACTGGGACCAGTAGGAAGGGATGTGATAGACACTGGAAAATCTTCCCAAGTGTCTCTCCGAGACATGATTTGTCCCTGGGTATCCAAGTTGCATGAAACATAAAGCTACTTGAGTGGGAAGCTGCAATGCCAACGCTGCTGAGGTTCCTCCCTTACGCAGGTAACTTCTCACTGTGTCATCCCAGCCCTGCACACGGGTCTTGCACAAAGACAGTTCTTGCCAAAGCCATCAGGAAGGTCAATGCAGCAGCAGGGTGGTCATTTCTGGGGACCTCAGGAAAAGAGGCATCATCCATCCCCATATCTCTTCAGTTTGCTGTGAACTGTTTCTCCGGTCTGTGCCGTGTGCTGGCTCACATGGTGGCATGTGTGTCTCTCTTGAGGACACTGTTCTGGGGGGGATGCTCGAGCCCGTCACAACTGCTGTGGCTGGGTGCTTTGGGAGGTGTGTGGCAGCATAGTCTACATTATGGTCTTGAATGTGAGGAAGGGCAGAAATAGTCCTCAAAGGCAGTTGCAGGGCATGTGTCTTTAAGCTCTCCTGTCATTCCTTGTCATAGACATGTCTGCAAGCTGAAGGTGGGTGACACAGACCTGGCTGGCAAGATCTTCACCTAAAGCAGTTGGGGGAGACAAGGCAAATGTTCTCCAAGGAGCACTGGGAGACAGAGGGAAAACTGGTGGTGGAAATGGTGCAGGCATGCAGGATTGTGGTGGCAAGGCATTTGGGGAGGTGTTGGGAACTGTTTACTCTCTTCCCCTTTGAGCTGTGGCCTTACAAGAGTCCTTGAACTGGATCTTTGCCCAGGGGCCGTGTCTCCTGCCATGACTATCGAGGGGTCCTGGGGCTGCAGGCAGCCGATGAGAAATGAACAGAATGGGCAAGAAAATCCTTGTGAAGCCCATCATGCCATTTTGTGCTGCAGAGCGCAGGAGCCTAATGCTGAGATGAGAGAGATGGCAGAGGGGGGAACTGTGCTTAGTGGAGATGAACAAGGTCCCTGCTCACCGTAACCATCTCTGAACAACCTTTTGATTCCTGAGGGAAGCAGGAGGAAGCTTGGCAGCTTCCAAAGGTCCCTCTGAGAAGGCAGTGTCTGGGAGCTCCCTTGAAAACGCAGGAGAACCCATGCCGATACCTGGAGTACTGCATGTGGAGGTCATAATATAAAATCAAGGGACAACGATGCGATGCAACACAGCTTTTATTGCAGTTTGAGGAGGAAAGGAGCTGGGAGAAGTGCAGAGCCCTGACCAAGAGAAGCCTGCGTCTCCAGGCAGTGGGCAGAGCCACAAAGAGCATTAAGCATGCTGCAGGAGCAGGCACCCATCATGGGGCTGCATTGTCACTCTAAGCATGCCCTCAAACAATACTGAATTGGGGCATAAAATACTTAGAGTTGGCCATCAGCAGGTACCGTGTCCCCAGGCTCTGGAACCCAGCAGTGCTGAAGGGATGTTTTTCTTTGGCCATCATCAGTTGGGAAGTGCGAGTGGCTTTCTTGGAGAACTCTGTCATCTGTAGAAGGACCCAGGTGAGGCTTAGCAGATCCCGCAGCCTGCGCCAAAGGACGCGAGGCCTCGGCCCCAGCCGCCATATCCTCCGCAGCCACCGAAGCCTCCATAGCCTCCATAGCCCCCATAGCCACCAAGGCCTCCATAGCCTCCAGAGCCACCATAACCACCATAACCACCACGGCCTCCATAACTGCCGCCAGAGCCCCCAGCAACGGCAGGGACTCCCGCTGAGCCCACAACGCTGTGCTGAGGGAAGGAGCTGAGGATGGGTCCGGGGAAGGTGACCACCGTGGCTGGGGGCTGGATCACCACCGAGGAGCTCTGGCACTGACGCACGCAGGGCTCGTTGGTGGTGTCAGCCAGGGGGTGTGGGGCAGCCACCCCACAGGAAGGGGCACACAGGCTGGAGCAGGACATTCTTCTCTTCGAGGGATCAATCTTTAAGACAAGACAAAGTTACGGTGCAGTACAAAGCATAAGCCCAGATCTCTCCTGTGTTTGTTGCACATGGAACATCTGCTAAAGGCATTCCCTGGACTATGTCAGGCAGTCAGAGCCAAGTCCCATTTCACCGTGGACCTGCTGCTGTGAAGCCCTTGCTCTCCCACACGCTCTGTGAATCTGACTTCCCCGTAGGTAACAAGAAAAATCCCCTCATCATAAGAAGACTGGAAATCAATGAGATCAAAAGTTCCATTATTATTCCCTATGGATCTCAGAGGGAAGTTTAAATTTGCAGCCTTTCCCTGGTTATGAGAGAGCACTGCCAGATCCTAACTATTCATGGTGAAACGGGGGTAGAGTAGACAGCAAATGAGACATTGAGGAAGACAGAGCTGAGGAAGGCAAGAGAAAAATAAGTCTTGGACTTACCACAATGATCAAGAGAGTCGAGTGGAAGAAGCTGGATAGGGAGCTGTCAAGCCCTCAGCTCTTTTATACATGTCCTACTCTTCCTGGGCAGTGGCCAGCGTCAGGCACAGATGTCTCAGCTGATGATGAAATCAAGCGGTGAAGCCTCATGAAGCAAAGTGAATCCATCCTCACCGGCGAGAGTAGCGAGCAAACGCGCCCTGGAGAGCAAACAGGGAATGGGAGGGACAGACCATGACACGCCATGACATGAATGACAAGGCTATGCTTTAACTGACCTCATGGCACCAATAAACCCCGATCGATCCCTGATCCTCCCACTCTGCTCATGCACTGGAGTCTTGCTCACCTTTCACTCCTGGCCACAGCCATCACGCCTGCATTGCCTCTCTTTTACAGGGAGGTAAACAGAGGCATGAGGACTTTGGCCAAATAGACAGGCCATTCTACATGCTTGGATTGGGTCCCAAAGGGCCACCATCTTCCAATGCACTTTTGGGAAAACAGGTCAGGAGCATCCCTTAGCCATCTCCATGACCTTGCTCATCAGGGTGTGATCGACGATCCCGATTGACAGCAAGAGAAAGAGTACTAGCTGTACGTACTGCGTGGGACAAGAATCACATGCTGGGAGATCAGCACCGCCATGTTACGGGAGCAGTGAGATCCGGCAGCAGGATCCTGTGTGAGAGGGTGATGTGCACAAAGTGGCGGGAGGGCAGGAAGGGTACCAGGATTCCCCCAACTTCCTTGGCCACGTGTCTGTGCGTGTTTTTGTCCTCGATCCCTTTCTGGAGGGCTCGATTTCTCAGCTGGACATTGAGGGCTGCACAACGAAAGGTTGGTGAGCACCCACAGAGAGCCAGGGTGCACGTGGCCACGCTCTCCGAAGGCAAAGGCACGCAGAGCGGTTCTGGCTCACTCAGCAGTGGGGCTGCTGCTGAGTGTGGCATGACTGGACACAGCAATCTTCTGCAAGATGCCTGTGACACCTCCATGCAGACAAAGTGGGGGATTACTGACAGATCCCTGTTTATTGAAGCTGCAATGTCTGCTAAATCAGAAGGTTGCTTATCATGGAATGTGGAGTGCATATGCCATCAGCCGTATGTACTCCAGGGCACCTTCGCATAGAGAATGGCATTTCCCTCACCAAATTCCCAATACCTCTATTGATCACCTTGTAAAAGAGAGGTAATGACAGGCTTGATGGCTGTGCCCAGGATTGCAAAGCCCTTCTGCAAGGTACTCAAGACTCCAACACATGAGCAAAGAGGGAGGATTAGGGACCGATTGGGGTTTATTGGTGCCATGAGGTCAGCTACAGCATCACATCTCCTTTCATGTCATGGTGTGTCATTGTCCCTCCCGCTCCCTGTTTTGTCTCCAGGGCACATTTCCTCGCTACTCTAACCAATGACGATGGATTCACTTTGCTTCAAGAGGCATCACTGCTTGATTTCATCATTAGCTGGGGCTTCTGTTGCTGAGCATTGCCACTGCCCCAGGCACTCTTGGGTATGTATAAAAGCTGAGGGTTTCACAGCTCTCTATCCTGCTTCATTCATTCGACTCTCCTGATCATTGTGGTAAGTCCAAGACTTATGTCTCCCTTTCCTTCTTCAGCTTTATCTTCATCAACGGGTCTTCCTCTGTCTCCTGTACCCCCATTTCATCACAAATAGTTACAATCTGATAGCGCTCTCTCACAAACAGGGAAAGGCTAAGGATTTAAACTTCCATCTGAGATCCATAGGGAATAATAATGCACCTTTAGATCTCATCGATTGGCAACCTTCATTTGTTGAGGGGGCTTTTCTTCTTTCCTATGGGTGGGACAGGCTGAAGAAATGTGTGGGAGAGCAAGGGCTTTTCAGCATCAAGTCCACTGGGGAATGGGACTTTGCTTTGACTGCCTGAAATGATCCAGGCGTGCCCTGGAGCAGAGGTTGCAACTGCAGGAGTGAGGAGGGATTTGGGGTTATGCCTTGGACTGCACCGTAACTCTCCCATCTCTTGCAGCTTGACCTCCCAAAGAGAAGAATGTCCTGCTCCAGCCTGTGTGCCCCATCCTCTGGGGTGGCTGCCCCACGCCCCCTGGCTGACACCACCAACGAGCCCTGCGTGCGTCAGTGCCAGAGCTCCTCGGTGGTGATCCAGCCCCCAGCCACGGTGGTCACCTTCCCCGGACCCATCCTCAGCTCCTTCCCTCAGCACAGCGTTGTGGGCTCAGCGGGAGTCCCTGCTATTGCTGGGGGCTCTGGCGGCAGTTATGGAGGCCATGGTGGTTATGGAGGCTTTGGCGGCTACGGAGGCTTCGGTGGCTGTGGAGGTTATGGCGGCTGGGGCCGAGGCCTCGCGTCCTTTGGCGCAGGCTGCGGGATCTGCTAAGCCCCACCTGGGTCCTTCTACAGATGACAGAGTTCTCCAAGAAAGCCACTCGCACTTCCCAACTGATGATGGCCAAAGAAAAACATCCCTTCAGCACTGCTGGGTTCCAGAGCCTGGGGACACGGTACCTGCTGATGGCCAACTCTAAGTATTTTATGCCCCAATTCAGTATTGTTTGAGGGCATGCTTAGAGTGACAATGCAGCCCCATGATGGGTGCCTGCTCCTGCAGCATGCTTAATGCTCTTTGTGGCTCTGCCCACTGCCTGGAGACGCAGGCTTCTCTTGGTCAGGGCTCTGCACTTCTCCCAGCTCCTTTCCTCCTCAAACTGCAATAAAAGCTGTGTTGCATCGCATCGTTGTCCCTTGATTTTATATTATGACCTCCACATGCAGTACTCCAGGTATCAGCATGGGTTCTCCTGCGTTTTCAAGGGAGCTCCCAGACACTGCCTTCTCAGAGGGACCTTTGGAAGCTGCCAAGCTTCCTCCTGCTTCCCTCAGGAATCAAAAGGTTGTTCAGAGATGGTTACGGTGAGCAGGGACCTTGCTCATCTCCAATAAGCACAGTTCCCCCCTCTGCCATCTCTCTCATCTCGACATTAGGCTCCTGCTCTCTGCAGCACAAAAAGGCATGATGGACTTCATGCAGATTTTCTTGCCCATTCTGTTCATTTCTCATCGGCTGCCTGCAGCCCCAGGACCCCTCGATAGTCATGGCAGGAGACACGGCCCCTGGGCAAAGATCCAGTTCAAGGACTCTTGTAAGGCCACAGCTCAAAGGGGAAGAGAGTAAACAGTTCCCAACACATCCCCAAATGCCTTGCCACCACATTCCTGCATGCCTGCACCATTTCCACCTCCAGTTTTCCCTCTGTCTCCCAGTGCTCCTTGGAGAACATTTGCCTTGTCTCCCCCAACTGCTTTAGGTGAAGATCTTGCCAGCCAGGTCTGTGTCACCCACCTTCAGCTTGCAGACATGTCTATGACAAGGAATGACAGGAGAGCTTCTTAAAGACACATGCCCTGCAACTGCCTTTGAGGACTATTTCTGCCCTTCCTCACATACAAGACCATAATGTAGACTATGCTGCCACACACCTCCCAAAGCACCCAGCCACAGCAGTCGTGACGGGCTCGAGCATCCCCCCCAGTACAGTGTCCTCAAGAGAGACACACATGCCACCATGTGAGCCAGCACACGGCACAGACCTGAGAAACAGTTCACAGCAAACTGAAGAGATATGGGGATGGATGATGCCTCTTTTCCTGAGGTCCCCAGAAATGACCACCCTGCTGCTGCATTGACCTTCCTGATGGCTTTGGCAAGAACTGTCTTTGTGCAAGACCAGTGTGCAGGGCTGGGATGACACAGTGAGAAGTTACCTGCGTAAGGGAGGAACCTCAGCAGCGTTGGCATTGCAGCTTCCCACTCAAGTAGCTTTATGTTTCATGCAACTTGGATACCCAGGGACAAATCATGGCTCGGAGAGACACTTGGGAAGATTTTCCAGTGTCTATCACATCCCTTCCTACTGGTCCCAGTCACTATTTGGGCATGGGCACAAGTCCAACGTGTGGCAAGAGCACTGTGAATGCACAGGTATCCTCTTCATTTTCCCTGGACATCCCAATATGACCAGTAACAAGGCAACAGAAGGAGGCAATGGAAGCATGCCACTTTTGAGGAGGATTTGAAAGATCTTCCTCCATAACCCTCTGTCTCCTTCGTATCTTCCAAAAAGGCATAGGCAAAATTTGGGGTTCATTGCTGTTGGGAGACCAGAGAGAGCTCACTGGATAGTGCTCTAGGATACCCATCTGTGACGGTCATCATCAATCAGAACAAACCGAGCAAAGTGACCAAATGGCACAACATGAGAAATACAAACAGTGCGGGTCAACATGCTCAGAGGCTTAGGGCACTTTGAAAGAAGCAAGGATCAGGAAAACACAAGGCTCGACGTTGCAGTGCAGCACAGAATTTATTGCAGTTTAAGAGGGGTAAAGAGTTGGGCAAGAGCAGGGCCCCAACCAAGGTCAGCCCACATTTCCAGGGAGTGGACCGAGAAACAAAGAGCATAAACCATGCTGTAGGAGCAGGTGCTCAGTGCGGGTCTCTGTCATCAGGGGTAGCCAGTCTCTTGAAAGGGTGCTCAAGCAGAGCAGGAGGGAGGCAAATTTGGACAACAAGAAGGCACGAGGCATCCAAGCCTGGATTCCAGCAGTGATGAAGGTATGCTCTTCCAATGGGCAACATCATGTTGGGATACGTCAAGGTCTTTCTTGGAGCTCTGTGTCATCTCTGGCCGGCACCAGGTGAGGCTTAGCAGCTCCCACAGCTGGCACCAAAGGACATGAGGCCTCGGCCCCAGCCGCCATATCCTCCGCAGCCACCGAAGCCTCCATAGCCTCCATAGCCCCCATAGCCACCAAGGCCTCCATAGCCTCCAGAGCCACCATAACCACCATAACCACCACGGCCTCCATAACTGCCGCCAGAGCCCCCAGCAACGGCAGGGACTCCCGCTGAGCCCACAACGCTGTGCTGAGGGAAGGAGCTGAGGATGGGTCCGGGGAAGGTGACCACCGTGGCTGGGGGCTGGATCACCACCGAGGAGCTCTGGCACTGACGCACGCAGGGCTCGTTGGTGGTGTCAGCCAGGGGGTGTGGGGCAGCCACCCCACAGGAAGGGGCACACAGGCTGGAGCAGGACATTCTTCTCTTCGAGGGATCAATCTTTAAGACAAGACAAAGTTACGGTGCAGTACAAAGCATAAGCCCAGATCTCTCCTGTGTTTGTGCAAAAAACTCTGCCAAGGCAGGCAGGGAGAGATCTGCAAGAGGCTCCCAAGAGCTGCACTTACCCGTTTGATCAGGAGAGTCAAGAGCAGGAATATGGATAGAGGTTGTAAAGTCTTCTGCCCTTTTATACATTTCCCAGTCCACCTGGGGCATTGGGCATGGGGTGCGGGCAGAATCCACAAGGACTCATGGAAGCCAGTGAATAAACTTCATGACACACGGAATTAGACATGTAACTCTTGGCCCTCTTTATTGGGGTCAGTGGTATGCTAATGTGCCCCAGAGTGCATATGGGTGGTGGGATATGGCATGGCACAGTTCATGATAGACAAGGTGCTGATGAAGCTGAGCTAGCAGCTCCAATAAACACGCATCTGTCATTAACTTCACCCCCCTTTTGCCTACATAGAAGAGTCACAGGCATTTCTCAGAGGATTGCTGTGCCCAGCCATGCTGCCCACAGTAGAAGCCCTACTGCTGAGTGAGCCAGCAGTGCCCTGCTTGTCTGTGCCTGCGGGGAGAGTGGCTACATGCACCCTGGCTCTCTGTGGTTTCTCACCAGCCTCTCCTGTAGCAGTCCTCAATGTCGATGTGAGGAATTGAGTCCCTCCAGAGAGGGCTCGAGGAGGACCATGCTCACAGACACGTGGCCAAGGAAGATGTGGGAGTCCTGCTTTCCTTCCTGCCCTCGTAATCCTCCGTGCACGTCTGCCTCTCACACATGACTCTGCTGTCGTACCTCACTGCTCCCCAAACACGTCAGTGTTGAGCTCCCATCATGCGGGTCTTGCCCCAGACAGCAAATGCAGCTCTTACTGTTTGTCTGTCAATCAGCAAGCCTCAATCACTCCCTGATAAGCAAGGTCACAGAGATGTCTAAGATATATTCCTGACCTACTTTCCCAAAAGTGCATTGGAAGATGGTGGTCCTTCGGGACTCATTCCAAGCATAAGGAATGGATTCTCTGTTTGCCCAACCTTCCAATGCCTCTATTGATCACCTTGTAAAAGAGAGGTAATGCAGGCGTCATGGCTGTGCCCAGGATTGCAAAGCACTCCTGCAAGGTGCCCAAGGCTCCAGCACATGAGCAAAGTGGGAGGATTAGGGATCGATCATGGTTTATTGGTTTTGTGAGGTTAGCTATAGCATCGCCTTGTCTTTCAAGTCATGGCGACCCATGATTTGCCCCTCCCATTCCCTGTTTGCTCTCCAGGGCATGTTTGTTTGCTGCTCTCCCCAATAAGGATGGATTCACGTTGTTTCATGAGGCTTCACCACTTGATTTCATCATTAGCTGGGGCTTCTGTGAATGATGCTTGCCACTGCCCCAGGCAGTATAGGACAAGTATAAAAGAGCTGAGAGCTTCACAGCTCCCTATCCAGCTTCTTCCACTCGACTCTCCTGATCACAATGGTAAGTCCAAGACTTATGTTCCTTTTTCTTTTCTCAGCTGTCTTCTTCGATGTCTCTTTTGCTGTCTTTTTTGCTCCCCTTACATTGTGAATATTTAGGATGTGGTGGTGCTCTCTCTTAACCAGGGAAATACTGGGAACTTAAACGTGCATTAAGATCTTGATGTAAGGTTATGGAACACTGATGCACTGTGGTCCCTTTGGATCTCATCGACATCCCATCATTTGCTTTTGATCTCGTCTATTTCCCATATTCATTTGATGAGGGGGCTTTTCTTCTTACCTATGAGGCCGTCAGTCTCAGGGAGCATGTGGGAGAGCAAAAGGTTTACAGCAGCAGGTCAACTGTGGAATGGGACTTAGTTCTGCCTGCCTGTGATAATACAGGCAGTGTTCTGGAGAAGAGGTTCCAAATGCAAGAGGGTCATAAGGGATTTGGAATAACGCCTTTGACTGTACTGTAACTCTGCCTGTCCTCCAGCTTGACCTCCTGAAGAGAAGAATGCTCTGCTAAGGCCTGTGTACTCCTTCCTCTGGGGTGGCCGCCCTGTGCCCGCTGGCTGACACCACCAACGAGCCCTGTGTGCGTCAGTGCCAAAGCTCCTCAGTGGTGATCCAGCCCCCAGCCACGGTGGTCACCTTCCCCGGACCCATCCTCAGCTCCTTCCCCCAGCACAGTGCTGTGGGCTCAGCAAGAGTCCCTGCCATTGCTGGGGGCTATGGTGGCAGTTATGGAGGCTATGGTGGATTTGGCGGCTATGGTGGCTACAGTGGCTATGGAGGCCTTGGTGGCTATGGGGCTATGGAAACTATGGTAGCAGTGGAGGCTATAGAGGCTTTGGCAGCTACAGAGGCTTTGGTGGCTATGGGGGCTGCAGATATGGCAGATGGTGCCAAGGCCTCATATCATTAGGTGCCAGCTGTGGGAGCTGCTAAGCTCCACCTGATGCTCGCCTCAGATGACAGCTCCTGGAAAGGCTCTGGCACATCACAACATGATGATGTCCAAAGGAAGAACAACCCTTCAGCACTGCTGGGGTCCATCGCTTCGATGCCTCAAGCCTGCTGGAGCACAACTCTGCCTTCACTCTGACCCGTTTGAGCATCCCTTCAAGACTAATTGCCCCTAATGACAGTGACACACACTGGGCGCCTGCTCCTCTGGCACTGCTGATGCTCTTTGTTGCTCTGCCCACTGCCAGTAGACGTGGGCTGATCTTTGCCAGGGCTTTGCTCTTCTCTCAACACCTTCCCTCCCTAAACTGCAATAAACACTGTGTTTCATCACAGTGTTGACACTTGGATTTATTTGATTCTTCCTTCATACACAAAATCCAAAGTTGCAGTAAGGGTTCCCATGAGTGTCCCAGACAGCTCCCATCCACGGCCTTCTCATGGAGACCTTCAGAGGATGCCTGACTTCCTTCTGCTTTCCCTCAGAAATGACATCTTGCTACAGGAGGTTTGCCCAGAGCAGGGACTGTGGTCAGCTGGAGGGACTACATCTAATCCTTCTTTCCCTCCCTTCTCTTTTCACCACCTTTGGCTCCTATATCGTGCAGACTGAGAAGAACTGCTGTGACCAGCAGTGGGTTTGCTGACCTCTCTGGGCATTTTTCATTGGCTGCCTGCAGCCCCAGGCCTCCTGGATTGGCATGCCAATGCAGCCATCTCAACAGCAAAGGCCCACCTCAGATACACTTGGGAGAATAAAGCTCAAATGCAGAGTGTCACCAATCCTCAGCACCTCCCCATATGCCTTGCCTCCATCACCTCCACATTCCTGCAGCCTTTCACCATATTCACCTCCAGGTTTCTTCTCTCTCCCAAGGATCTTTGAAGCACTTTTGGCCTCGTCTGCTCTCACTGGGGAAGCATAAGCTTTTCTCATCCATTCCCAGTGTCACCCACCTTCAGCCTGCAAACATGGCTCTGCCCAGGAATGACAGCAGAACTTCCCACAGCCCCATGCCCTGGAACAGACTTTGCTGGACCTTTTATTGCCCTTCCTCATATGCAAGCCCACAATGTAGCCCACACTGCCACACACCTCCCAAAGCATCCAGCCAATACAGGATCACTGAAGCCCTCTTCTACCATGGTACACTCAGTAGGCACACATGGGACACCATGTGAGACAGCACAGAGCTGATGACTGAGAGAAAGTTCAGGGAACTGGTTAGATAAGAGGATGGATGACCCCTCTTTTCCTGGGTACCCAGCAGTGACAAACATGCTGCCACATTCACCTTCCTGATGGCTTTGTCCAGAGCAGTGCAAGACCACTGTGCATTACCTAGATGCAACAATAAGAAGACACTTGGAGAAGGAAGGGGCCTTTGGAGGATCAGTAGTGCAACATCTCGCTAAAAGAGCTTTGTGCTTCGTGTGACTTGGTTACTTGGGGACAAATCATACCTTTGAAAGGTAACTTGGGAGCATGTGGCAGTGTCTATCACACACTTTCTCACTGGGTGTAGGGACATGGATGATACATGCACTTATTGTCTCAACCTTTCCGTGGAGCTCCCAGTGTGACCAATACCAAACCAACAAAAAGAGGTAATGGCAGCATGCTGGTTTGCTGAAGACTTGGAAGAACTTCCAAAGGACCCATAAAGCATTTTCACATCTTCCAAGTGGCCTTTGAGAATACATTGTTTTTATTGCTGTGCTTCACAAGACTGAGACTGAAGATCATCAAAAGTTGGAAATCACTGACCAACAGTCCTAACAGTAGTGCTACCAGGGGACTACTGTGGGAGCTTCAAGCAGTGCAGACTAACGACTGGAGATTAAGGGCAAGTAGGAAAGAAAAAAGGATCAGGAAAAACCAAGGGTCACATTGCGGTGCAACACAGCTTTATTGCAGTCTGAGGTGGGGAAGAAGTTTGGACAAGAGCAGAGCCCAGACCAAGGCCAGCCAAAATCTCGTGGCTGTGGGCAGAGCTATAAAGAACATCAGCCCTACCACAGGAGAAGGCACCAAGACTGGGTCTCTGCTATCAAGGCAACAAATATGGAAGGGATGCTCAAGCAGGGCAGAAGAAATGAAGTGTTGGCCCAGAAGGAGGAATGAGGCGTCCAAGCTCTGGATTCCAGCAGTGCAGAAGAGATGTTCTTCCTTCGGAAATCATCATGTTGGGATATGCCAGGGGCTTTCCTAGAGCTCTCTGTTGTCTAAAGCTGGACCTGGGTAGGGCTTAGCAGCTCCCACAGCTGGCACCGAAGGGAAGGAGGCCTCTGCCCCAGCCGCCATAACCACAGCCCCCAAAGCCTCCGAAGCCACCAAAGCCTCCATAGCCACCAAGGCCTCCATAGCCTCCACAGCTACCATAGCCACCAAGGCCTCCAAAGCCACCAAGACGCCCATAGCCCCCATAGCCTCCGTAGCCCCAGTAGCCACCAAGGCCTCCATAGCCACCATAGCCACCGAGGCCTCCATAGCCTCCAAATCCACCATAGCCTCCATAACTGCCACCATACCCCCCAGCAATGGCAGGGACTCCTGCTGAGCCCACAACGCTGTGCTGTGGGAAGGAGCTGAGGATGGGTCCGGGGAAGGTGACCACCGAAGCCGGGGGCTGGATCACCACTGAGGAGCTCTGGCACTGACGCACGCAGGGCTCGTTGATGGTGTCAGCCAGCGGGCATGGGGCGGCCACCCCACAGGAAGGGGCACACAGGCTGGAGCAGGACATCTTTCAGGCAGGCAAGGAGTCCTGGAAAATGCACCAGGGATTAGGCAAGGGTGAGGGCAAGAAACTCTGTCAAGGGAGGCAGGGAGAGATCTGCAAGAGGCTCCCAAGAGCTGCGCTTACCCGTTTGATCAGGAGAGTCAAGAGCAGGAATCTGGATAAAGGTTGCAAAGCCTTCACCTCTTTTATACACGTCCCAGGAGGCCCAGGGCACCAGCCAAGGGGCGGGGGCAGAATCCACAAAGACTCATAGAAGCCAGTGGATAAACTTCATGACACATAGATAAGTAACTCCAGTCCCTCTTTACTGGGGTCAGTGGTATGCAGATGTTCCTTGGAGTGCGTATGGGTGATGGGATATGGCACGGCATAGTTCATGATAGACAAGACGCTGCTGTAGCTGACCTTGCAGCATCAGTAAACCCAGGTCTGTCATTATTCCAGCACTTTGCCTACATGGAGAGTCACAAGCATCTCTCAGAAGTTTGCCGTGCCCAACCATGCTGTCCTCAGCAGCATCTCTGCTACTTAGTGAGCCAGGGCTGCCCAGCGTGCCCGTGCCTGCGGGGAGCATAGCCACGTGCACCCTGGCTCTCTGTGGGTGCTCATCAGCCTCTGTCACAGCCCTCAATGTCCAGCTGAGGAATCGAGGCCCTCCAGAGAGGCCTTAAAGAGGACCACCCTCACAGACATATGGCCAAGGAAGCTGGGGGAGTCCTTATTCACCTCCTGCTCTTCTGCCATCCGCGCACTTCCCCCTTTCCCACATGACCCTGCTGTTGGATCTATCTCACTGCTCCCCAAGCACGTCAGTGTTGAGCTCCCAGCATGTGGATCTTGCCCCAGATGGCAAATGCAGCTCCTACTCTTTGCATTTCTGCCCATTTCTGTCACGATCCTCAATCACACCCTATCAAGGTCGTGGAGATGACCAAGGCTTAAGCATGCTCCTGAGCTGTTTCCCTAAAAGTGCATTTGGAAGATGGTGGTCCTTTGGGACCCATTCCAAGCATATGGAATAGCTTCTCTGTTTGCCCAACCACCCATTGCCTCTGTTTACCACCTTGTAAAAGAGAGGTAATGACAGACATGATGTCTGTGCTAAGGGTTTCAGAGCACTTCCACAAGGTTCCCAAGAATCCAGCACATGAGCAAAGTGGGAGGATTAGGGAGAGATGAGGATTTACAGCTGCTGTTGCGTGAATAATAATAGAGCCATATTCCATAGAAGGATGTGTCATAGTTTATGCTTCCTATCAGCTCTTTCTTAACACAATTTTTTTTTATAATTAAACAACATATAATTGTTTCACATTAATGCTTGCGTCAAGTTTGCATGCTTCTCATCTTGATTACCTGTAGACAAGCTATATGACAGTAATATTCTGGGAGATGCCTGGGACTCTTCCATGTAGGCAAACATCGGGATTAGTGACAGATCTGTGTTTATTGATGCTGCCATGTCAGCTACAGCAGCATCTTGTCTGTCATGGAATGTGCTGTGCCAAATTCCTTCACCCATATGTGCACCAGGGCACCTTCACATACCACTGACCCCTATAAAGAGGGACAAGAGTTACTTATCTAATTATGCGTGTCATGAAGATTGTTCATTAGCTTCCTTGAGTCCTTGCTGATTCTGCTCACACCCCATGGCTGATGCTCTGGGCAGTCTGGGATATGTATAAAAGGGCAGAACACTTCACAGCCTCTATCCAGATTCCTGCTCTTGACTCTCCTAATCAAACAGGTAAGTGCAGCTCTTAGGAGCCTCTTGCAGATCTCTCCCTGCCTCTCTTGACAGAGTTTCTTGTCCTCACCCTTGCCTAATCCCTGGTGCATATTCCAGGACTCCGTACCTGCCAGGAAGATGTCCTGCTCCAGCCTGTGCGTCCCTTCCTGTGGGGTGGCCGCCCCGTGCCCACTGGCTGACACCATCAATGAGCCCTGTGTGCGTCAGTGCCAGAGCTCCTCAGTGGTGATCCAGCCCCCGGCCTCAGTGGTCACCTTCCCCGGACCCATCCTCAGCTCCTTCCCTCAGCACAGCGTTGTGGGCTCAGCGGGAGTCCCTGCCATTGCTGGGGGCTACGGCGGCAGTTTTGGAGGCTATGGAGGCCTTGGTGGCTATGGTGGCTATGGAGGCCTTGGTTTCTACGGGGGCTATGGTGGCTATGGTAGCTGTGGAGGCTACGGAGGCCTTGGAGGCTATGGAGGCTTTGGGGGCTGTGGATATGGAGGCTGGGGCCGCGGTCTCAGGTCCTTCGGTGGTTGGTGTGGCAGCTGGTAAGCCACACCTGGGACCTGCCTCAGATGACAGAGAGCTCCAGGAAAGCCTCTGGCACATCCCAACATGATGATGCCCAAAAGAAGAACGTCTCTTCCGCACTTCTGACATTGAGAGCTTTGACACCTTTTGCCTGTTGGAGCCCAACTCTGCCTTCCTCCTCCTCTGCTTGAGCATCATTTCCAGAGGCAATGACCTCTCAGATCAGAAACCCCCACCACGTGCCGGCTCCAGTGGCAGGGCTGATGCTCTTTGTAGTTCTGCCCACTGCCTGCAGTGGTTGCATTGCCTTGGTTGGCATAATCCACTTCTCCCAGTTTTTTCCCTGCTTCAAACTTCAATAAAAGCTGTGTTGTATCGCAATGTTGAGCCTTTGTTTTTCCTGATCCCTTCTTCTTTCTCTCTTGCCCTAAACCTCTGGCCTTCTTGTGCTGGGCTTCTTCAGTAATCCACAGTAGTGGTTTTGGAGCACTTGGGTAGCTTGCTCAGTCTAATGTGAATGAGGATGACCGTCTCATCTGGGTTCTGTGGAGGATGTCACAGCGAGCTTCCTCTGGTCTTCCTCCAGCAATAAACACAATACATTCCCAGAGCTCTCTTGGAAGACGTGAAAGCACCTTAGGTGTCATGTGGAATGTTTTCAAAATGCTCTGCAAAGTGAGTATTGTACAATTGCCTCCCATTGTTGGCTTCCATAATGGTCACATTGGAAGGTCCAGTTAAATGGAGAAAAAGAAATGCAAGCAGAGTGCTGCTGGCACATGCTGGTAATATCCCATGCCCATTCAGGTATGGGTACTACTCAGAAAGGCACGCAAAAGTTTTCCCAAGTGTCTGCTCTGAGCCAGGATTTTCCCCCTATATCCAAGTCAAAGGAAGCATAAAGCTTTTTGAGAGGGAGGTTGCAGTGCCAACCCCGTCAAGATCCCTCTTTCCCCAAGTACCTTCACCACGTGTGATCCCAGCACTGCACTTTGGTCTTGTACAAAGACAGTTCCAGACAAAGGCATCAGGAGGGGCAAATTGAGAGCACGTTGGTTATTGCTGGGGAGCCCAGGTAAATACATGTCCTCTGTGCCATATCTGCCCGGATTTACCTGCACTTTCTCTCAGACACCTTTTATGTGGTGGCTCACGTGGTGTCTCCTGTGTGTCCGCTGAAGGCACTGTGGTGGAAGGGGGTTTGGGTGATCCCATCTCTGCTGCCATATCTGGGTGCTTTTGGAACCATTTGGCTGTACATGCTACATTGTGAGCTGGTGTATGAGGAAAGGCAGGAAAAGGCCAGCAAATCTGTTTCAGGACACTGGGTGTAGGAAGTTGTCCTGTTGTTCCTGGGAACTTCTGGGTCTGCAGTGTGAGGTGGGTAACATGGCTGGGAAGAGCTTCAGCAGTAGCAGTGAGGGGCAGATGGGAACAATAGTGCTCTGAGGAGCATTAGAAGATGGAGGAAACACTGCAGGTGAACATGGTGCCAGGTTGCAGGAATGTGGAGGCAATGGAGGCAAGGCATTTGGGGAGGATCTGGCAATTGGTGACACTCTTCTTTAGACCTGTATTCTAACAAGTGACTCTGAGCTGGACCTTTACCTTTGAGATGACTTCATTGCTATGCCAGTCCCATGAGAGCTGGAGCTGCAGGCAGCTCATGGGAATGGCCAGAGTGGGCAGAAAATTCACTGCTGGTCCCAACAGTTCTTTTTGAGCTGCAGTGCAGGAGCTTAAGGAGAGCAGAAGCCACGGAGGGAAAGAAAGATTAGCTGTGGTCAATGAGCATGAGCAGGGTCCCTGCTCTGGGCAGCCCTCCCATAGCAACAGATGATTTCTGAGGGAAAGCAGGAGGAAGCCAGACACCACCCAAAGGTCTCCTTCAAATGGTCATGGGTGGGAACTGTCTAGGACACTCATGGGAAACCATAATGCCACATGGGATATTGTGCATGGAGGAAGAATCAAATAAAACCAAAGGTCAACAATGTGATGCAACACAGCTTTTATTGCAGTTTAAGGGGGAAAGGAGTTGGGACAAGAGCAGAGCCCCAAGCAAGGTCAGTCCAGCACTGCTGGCAGTGGGCAGTGCTCCAAATGGCATCAACCATGCTGCAGGAGCAGGAACCTAGTGTGGGTCTCTGTCATCATGGGGCAACGAGTCTTGAAAGAATGCTCAAGCAGAGCAGGAGGAAGGCAGAGCTGGGCTCCAACAAGCAAGAGGCATCCAACCTCTAGATCCCAGCAGTGATGAAAGGAATGTTCTTCCTTTGGGGATCATCATGTTGGCATATGCCAAAGGCTTTTCTGGAGCTCTCTATTATCTGAGGCCAGACGCCAGTGGGGTTTAGCAGCTGCCACACCAACCACCAAAGGACCTGAGACCGCGGCCCCAGCCTCCATATCCACAGCCCCCAAAGCCTCCATAGCCACCAAAGCCTCCGTAGCCTCCACAGCTACCATAGCCTCCATAGCCCCAATAGCCACCAAGGCCTCCATAGCCACCAAGGCCTCCATAGCCACCATAGCCACCATAGCCTCCAAATCCACCATAGCCACCATAACTGCCACCATAGCCCCCAGCAATGGCAGGGACTCCCGCTGAGCCCACAGCGCTGTGCTGAGGGAAGGAGCTGAGGATGGGTCCAGGGAAGGTGACCACCGTGGCTGGGGGCTGGATCACCACTGTGGAGCTCTGGCACTGACGCACGCAGGGCTCGTTGGTGGTGTCAGCCAGCGGGCATGGGGCGGCCACCCCACAGGAAGGGACGCACAGGCTGGAGCAGGACATTCTTCTCTTCAGGAGGTCAAGCTGCAGGAGAAGACAGAGTTATGGTGCAGTACATGGCCTGATGACAAATCCCTCCTCACTCTCTTCCGCTTTCAACCTCTGCTCCAGGACATTCCCTGTATCATGTCAGGCAGTCAGAGACAGCGCAGAAACCTGAGCTGCAGATGACATGCTGCTGTAAACCCCTTGCACTCCTCCATGCTCTATGAGCCTGAATGCCCCTGAGACTGACATAGGAAAAAAGACCCCACATCAATCAGAGATAAGAAAACAGTGACCTCACAAGGGACTTGATTGCATTGGTAGACTTATAGATCTGACCTACAGGTTGAAGTTCAAACCTTTCCCTGTCTCTAAGAGAGCACCGTCGCATCCTATCTATTATCATGAAAGGTGATGGAGAAGACAGCAAAGAGATGTTGACAAAGATACACAGCTGAAGAAGGAAAAAAGGACGTAAGCCTGGGACTTACCTGAAGGATCAGGAGAGTCAAGAGGAAGAAGCTGGATAGGGAACTGCAAAGCCCTCAGCTCTTTTATACGTGTCCCACACTGCCTGGGGCAGTGGCCAGCGTCAGCGACAGAAGCCCAAGCTAAAGAGGAAATCAAGCTGTGAAGCCTCATGAAACAAAGTACGCATCCTCACTGGGGAGAGAAGCAAGCAAACGCGCCCTGGAGACCAAACAGGGAATGGGAGGAACAGATCACGACACGCCATGACATGAAAGACAAGGTGATGCTGTAGCTGACCTCATGGCACCAATAAACCCCGATCGGTCCCTAATCCTCCCACTTTGCTCATGTGTTGGAGTCTTGGCACCTTGCAGAAGTGCTTTGCCATCCTGGGCACAGCCATCACACCTGTCATTACCTCTCTTTTACAAGGTGATAAACAGAGGCATGGGAGCTTGGGCAAAGACAGAAGCCTTTCCACATGCTTGGAATGACTTCTGAAGAGGCAAGGCATTCCAGTACCCTTTTGGGGCAACAGTTCAGAACCATTCCTAAAACTGGGCCATCTCTATGACCTTGCTTATCAGGGTGTGACTGGACCTTACCGACCAAGAGGCATGAAATGAGTAGGAGCTGCATTTGATTTGTGGGGGGAGACTCATACAGTGGGAGCTCAACATTTACGTCTTAGGTGAGCAATGACATCCAGCACCAGGCTCATGGATGGGAAGGATACATGCACAGAGGCGTAGGAGGGCAAGAAGGGAACCATGACTCCCCCAGCTTCCTTGGCCACGTGTCTGTGAGTGTGGACCTCCTCGAGTCCTCTCTGGAGGGACTCAATTCCTCAACTGGACATTAAGGGCTGATACAGGAGAGGCTGATGAGCACCCACAGTGAGCCAAGGTGTGCACATGGCCACGCTCCTACAGGCACAGGCATTCTGGGCACTGCTGGCTCACTCAGCAGTGGATAGGCAAAGAGGGGGATTAATGTCAGATCCGTGTTTATTGGTGCTGCAAGGTCAGCTACAGCAGCAACTTGTCTATCATGGAATGTGTCATGCTATACCCCATCACCCGTATGCACTCCAGGGCACATTCGCATACCACTGACCCCAATAAAGAGGGACAAGAGCTACTTATCTAATTATGTGTGTCATGATGTTTATCCACTGGCTTCCATGAGTATTTGCGGATTCTGCCCACACCCCATGGCTGATGCCCCAAGCAGTCTGGGACATGTATAAAAGAGCTGAAGGCTTCACAGCCTCTATCCAGATTCCTGCTCTTGACTCTCCTGATCAATCAGGTAAGTGCAGCTCTTGGGAGCCTCTTGCAGATCTCTCCCTGCCTCCCTTGACAGAGTTTCTTGTCCTCACCCTTGCCTAATCCCTGGTGCATTTTCCAGGACTCCATACCTGCCTGAAAGATGTCCTGCTCCAGCCTGTGTGTCCCTTCCTGTGGGGTGGCCACTCCATGCCCGCTGGCTGACACCACCAATGAGCCCTGCGTGCGTCAGTGCCAGAGCTCCTCGGTGGTGATCCAGCCCCCGGCCTCAGTGGTCACCTTCCCCGGACCCATCCTCAGCTCCTTCCCTCAGCACAGCGTTGTGGGCTCAGCGGGAGTCCCTGCCATTGCTGGGGGTTACGGTGGCAGTTTTGGAGGCTATGGTGGATTTGGAGGCTACGGAGGCTATGGTGGCTATGGAGGCCTTGGTGGCTTTGGGGGCTATGGAGGCTATGGTAGCTGTGGAGGCTATGGAGGCTTTGGGGGCTGTGGATATGGAGGCTGGGGCCGAGGCCTCCTGTCCTTCGGTGCCAGCTGTGGGAGCTGCTAAGCCCCACCGTGGTCCATCCTCAGACAACAGAGAGCTCCAGGAAAGCCTCTGACACATCCCAACATGATGATGCCCAAAGGAAGAGCATCCCTTCAGCACTTCCAGTTTTCAAATCTTGGAAGCCTCCTGACAGCTTTTGTCCCATTTTTTTTTTTCATTTCCTGCTTGAGCATCCCCTTAAGACTCATTTCCCTCTGATGACAGAGACTCACATCAGGTGCCTACTCCAGTGGCAGAGCTGATGCTCTGTGTAGTTCTGCCCATGGCCTGGAGATGTTGGACGGCCTTGGTTGGGGACCTGCTTTTTCCCCAGTTACTTCCCCACCTCAGACTTCAATAAAAGCTGTGTTGCATCACAGTGTTGTCCCTTTCTTTTTCCTGTTCCTTTCTTCTTCTTTCCCACATGCCCTTAACCTCTGGGCTCCTTGGTCTTGGCTGCCTGAATGCCCCATGGTTGTGCCCTTTGATCATTTAGGCAGCTTGTTCACTGTATTCTAACTAAAGATGACTGTCCCGTATAAGTCTTGTAGAGTGCATCCCAGTGAGCTTCCTTGGGTCTCCCTCCCGCAGTAAACACAATGTATTTCAAAGCCCACATGGATGCACCATATCTTTTTGTAGAAGCTTTCCCAAATCCTCTCTAAAACCAGCATGCTGTCATTGCTTCCCTTTGTTGGCTTATTGGTCACCTTTGGAGGTCAAGGGAAATGGAGTTTAAATCCATGCTTCTGCCATATGCTTGCCATGTCCCCTTGCCGAGCATGTCTCTCATCCGTTCCTGACACAAGCTGTTTCCATCTCTGCCTATCCTCACATCTGGCCAGACTCCCCTGCAGTGGCTCTTGGACATAGAACAGGTTCTGGCTCACATGGTGTGCCCTGAGGGTATTGCACTGAAATAGGGTTTTGAGGCAAGGCATTTGGCAAGATGCTGGGCATTGGTGACACTCTCCCTCTTTGTCCCATGGCCTCCCAAGTGACTCTGAGCTGGGACTTTCCTGTGTGGGTGGTTCCATTAGAGTCCCAATCCCGGGAGGCCTGGGGATGCAGGCAGCCCAAGGGAATGGCTTGATTGGGCGGTAAACTCGCTGCTGGTCCTAACACTTCTTGAGCTACACAGTGACAGAGCATAAGGAGGGGAGAAGACATGGAAGGCAAAGAGGGAAAAGCTTTAGTCAATGGGGATGGGCATAGACCCTACTCTGGATAAACCTCACATAGCAAGATGTGATTCCTGAAGGAAAGCAGGTAGAAGCTAGGCAGATCCCAAATGTCTTCTTGAAAATCAACCTGACAAGAGTCATGACAGATAGTGATGAGATACAGTGATATTCCTTTTCTTTGGGGACATTGGCATGCAATGTGCCCTTGACAGAATGGGGGTGATGGGAGGGACTAACCATGTCATGCTCCATCCCTGGCAGTATTCAAGGCCAGGTTGGACAGATCTTGGGTGACATCGTCTAGTGTGAGGTGTCCCTGCCCATGACAAGGAGGTTGGAAATAAATGATCTTAAGCTGCATTCCAACCCTAATTATTCTATGATTCTATGATTAAATGAAAGATACCACAGCAGCAGCTGTGCTTTGTCTTTTTTATAGTGTGTGTGATTGTGTCCCATTTTGCCTGCCAAGAACCATCAACAGCATCTTGCAGAACATTCCTGTGCCCAGCCACACCAAGCTCAGCAGCCATCCAGCCAGACTCCCAGAACCAGCAGTGCCCACCATGCCTCCGACTCCAGCCAATGTGGCCATATCAAACCCTGGAGAAGACCGTGCTCACAGACACGAGGCTGAACCAAATGACAGTGACCTGGCCCCGCTGCTGCACTTCTGCTCCTCCATATATGTGTGTGTGTGTGTTTTCCCATCAGAGGTCTCCTGCGCTCTATCCCACTGCCTGCACATCGCATCTCTTCCAGCCCCCCGTGTGTTTCCAGTTCTGCCATGCATGGACACATCTCCTCTACCCTTTGCACGGCCACCAAGTAAAACCATGACCTAAATATCCCACTGTCCTCCAGACCCGTAAGAGCTGGGCAATTCATAGACATGTCTATGGACCCACAGACCGTGACACGCACAGGTCTTGCTGCTTTGGGGGATGGAAGGGATGTCAAAGTCACCACAAATGTGTTGAATAGCTTCTGTATTTACCCAACCTCCTGATGCCTCTGTTTACCAGCCTGTAAAAGGGAGGTAATGAGAGGCATCATGGCTGTGCCCAGGATTGCAAAGCACTTCTGCAAGATGCTCAGGACTCTCCTACCAAGGCAAAGTGAGGGATTAGGGACAGAGCAAGGTTTATTAGGGCTTCTAACTCAGCTACAGCAGCACCTTTGTTTCATGTCAAGGTGTGTCAAGGTCTCGCCCTCCCATCAACCTTGTACACTCAGGGGACATTTGCACACCAATGTCCCCAGCGAAGAAGGATATAATTGTCTCACATCATTTTCTGTGTCATGAAGCTTTTCCACTGAGTTTTATGAGACTGAGGGGTTCCTGCCCCCACGCCTGACCGATGCCTCAGGCAGTTTGGGACATGTATAAAAGAGCTGAAAGCCTCACAGCCTCTATCCAGATTCCTGCTCTTGACTCTCCTGATCAAACGGGTAAGTGCAGCTCTTGGAGCCTCTTGCAGATCTCTCCCTGCCTCCCTTGACAGAGTTTCTTGCCCTCACCCTTGCCTAATCCCTGATGCATTTTCCAGGACTCCTTGCCTGCCTGAAAGATGTCCTGCTCCAGCCTGTGTGCCCCTTCCTGTGGGGTGGCCGCCCCGTGCCCAGTGGCTGACACCACCAACGAGCCCTGCGTGCGTCAGTGCCAGAGCTCCTCGGTGGTGATCCAGCCCCCAGCCACGGTGGTCACCTTCCCCGGACCCATCCTCAGCTCCTTCCCTCAGCACAGTGCTGTGGGCTCAGCGGGAGTCCCTGCCATTGCTGGGGGTTACGGTGGCAGTTTTGGAGGCTATGGTGGTTATGGAGGCTATGGGGGCTATGGAGGCCTTGGTGGCTATGGGGGCTATGGAGGCTATGGTAGCTGTGGAGGCTATGGAGGCTTTGGTGGCTATGGAGGCTTTGGAGGCTGCGGATATGGCGGCTGGCGCCGGGGCCGCTCATACCTCAGTGGCAGCTGTGGGCCCTGCTAACCACACACTGGGTACGGCCACAGACATGGGTGAGCTCCAGAAGATACCCTGGCACATCCCAACATGACGCTCTGTGGAGGAACATTCCTTCGGTACTGCTGGGATCCAGAGCTCGGAAGTCTCTGGCCTGCTTGAAGCCCAAGTCTGCCTTTCTCCTGCCCTGCTTGAGCTTCACTTCAGGACGTACTGTCCCCTGACAAAGCTGTCACATGCTGCACGCCTGCTTCTGTGGCTCAGCTGGAGATTACTCCGTGTGCCCACAGCCAGGGGACATGGGTTGCTCTTCATCAGGGCTTTGTTGTTCTCCCAACTCCCTCCTCCTTCCAAAATGCGATAAAAGCTGTATTGCATCTCAATGTCAACCCTTGGCTTTACTTTTTCCTTCCTCAATAGATAATACACCAGTTTATATCCTTGGTTCTAAGCCATCCTGGCCAGTTCGTTCCAAGGGCCTTGCCGGGGGCAATGCACGACCTTTGTCACATCTGTCATGGTTTAAAACCATTCAGAGGGCTCATTCACTCACTCCCCCCCTTCTTGCCCTCCCCCTACTCCCGAAGGTATGGAGAGGAGAATCAAAAAGAATGCAACTCCCACAGGTTGAGATAAGAACAGCCCAGTAACTAAGGTATAACACAAATCACTACTGCTACCACCAATATTAATAATGATAAAGGAAATAACAAGGGAAGAGAATACATCACCACCTCATCACCAGCCGACCGATAACTCGCCCCCCCAGCCCGACCAAGCACAGACCGATACCTCCTCCAACCCTGCAGTCCCCCAGCCCTTCCTGGTAAATCCCAGTTACGCCCCCAGGCATGATGTGCTGTAGTATGGAATACCTCTTTGGTCAGTGTGGGTCAGGTGTCCTGTCTCTGCTTCCTCCCGGCTTCCCCTCCTCCCTGGCAGAGCATGAGGCTCACAAAGTCCTTGGCCAAACCAAAACATCCTTGTTATCAGCTCTGTTCCCAGGCCAAAAGTCAAAACACAGCACTGCACCAGCTACCAAGAAGGAGAAAAATGACTGCTGCTGCTGAACCCAGGACAGCATCCTTCAGCCTGTCCGGGGCAGCATGTGCATCCAGCACACCACTGTCAGCAGTGGGTGGACATGTTTGTATTCTTCAACAGCTTCTCCGTCTCTCCTTCTCTGTCTTCTCTATGCCTTGGGCTCCTGCACTGTGCAGCCCAGGAAGAACTGCAGCGATCAGGAGTTTGCTGCCCAGTGTGGCCATTCCAATGGGCTGCCTGTGGCTCCAGCTCTCCTGGGACTGGTATCCAAATGGAGCCATCTCAATGGCAAAAGCACAGCTCAGAGCCACTTGGGAGAACACTGGGGAGAGGGTCTCAAGTGCCAGCACCTGCCCATATGCCTTGCCTCCACGGCCTCCACATTCCTGCACCATTTTTTTCTCCATCTCCAAATACTCCCTGGATCACTTTTAGTCCCATCTGCCCCAGCTCCTGCAGCAGAAGCCCTTCCCAGCCAGTCCCTGTGTCACCCACCTTCATTCTGCAGACCCTGCTCTGCCCAGGAAGAGCAGGAGAGCTTCCTACAGCCCTCTCCTTTGGAACAGATTTGCTGGCTTTTTCCTGCCTTTCCTCACACACCAGCTCACAATGTAGCCCCTGCTGCCAAATGCCTCCAAAAGCACCCAGGTGCAGCAGCAGAGATGAGATCACCCAAACCCCCTTCCACCACGGTGCCCTCAGCAGACACACAGGGGACACCACAGGAGCTAACACAAAGAAGGCAGCTGAGAGAAAGTGAAGAGAACTTGGGTAGATATGGGACAGTTGACCCCTCTTTTCCAGGCCTCTTCAGCAGTGCCCAACATGCTGCCACATTGCCCTTCCTGATGGCCTTGGCTGGAACCGTCTGTGTGCAAGACCGAAGTGAAGAGCAGGGATCACACAATGAGAAGTTACCTGGGGAAGGGAGGGATCTCAGCAGTGCTGGCATTTCAACCTCCCTCTCAAAGAGCTTTATGCTTCATGTGACTTGGGTACCCGGGGACAAATCCTGGCTCAGAGAGGACACTTGGGAAGACTTGGCTGTGCCTATCACACACTCTCTAAGTAGTACCTACCTCTGGCTGGGCGCAGGGACATGATCAGCATGTGACAGCAGCCCTGTACATGCCTGGTTTTTCCCTCCGTTTCCCTGGACCCCCCAATATGACCAATATGAAACCAACAAAAGGATGCAAGGGCAGCATGCCAGGTTTGCAGAGGATTTGGAAGAGCTGCCACAGGACCCTTGAGGCACTTTCACATCTTTCAGATGGGCTTTGGGTATGTATTGTGTTTACTGCTGGAGGGAGACAAGAGGAAGCTCCCTGGGAAATGCTCTGTACAGCCCATCTTGGATGATAATCATAGAATGGTTTAAGTTGGGAAGGACCTTAAGATTATCAAGTTCCAACCATTGCCACAGGCAGGGACACTTTCCACTAGACCATATCGCCCAGGGCCCTGTGTAACCTGGCCTTGAACACTGCCAGGGATGGGGCATCCACAGCTTCTCTGGGCACCCTGTGCCAGCACCTCAGCACCCTCACAGGGGAGAACATTTTTCTTGTATCTAATCTGAATTCCCACTGTTTAAGTTTTAACCCATTAACCCTTACCCTATTGCTACAGCCCTTTATGAAGAGTCCCTCTCCAGTACCCTTGCAGGCTCCCTTCTGATACTGGAAGGCTGCCTTGAGAGCTCCACACAACAAAGCACCATCAATAGTAACAAACTCCCAGAGAACTACCATTGGACTTTCAAGGAGCACAGACCAACAAACCCAGAATTTTGTGGCAAGTGGGAAAGAAGAAGAAAGGATCAGGGAAAAACAAGGGTCAACATTGCAATGCAACAAAGCTTTTATTGCAGATTGAGGTGGGGAAGGAGTTGGGAGAAAAGCAGGGCCCAGACCAAGGGCATCCAATGTCTCCTGGCAGTGGGCAGAGCTACAAAGAGCATCAGTCCTGCTGCAGGAGCAGGCACCCTGTGAGGGTCTCTGTCATCAGGAGGCAACAAGTCTTGAAGGGATGATCAAGTAGGGCAGGAGGAGAGCAAAATTTGGCTCCAATGGGCAAGAGGTATCCAGTCTCTGGATCCCAGCAGTGCTGAAGGGATGCTCTTCCTTTGGGCATCATCATGTTGGGATGTGCCAGAGGCTTTCCTGGAGCTCTCTGTTGTCTGAGGATGCACCAGGGTGAGGCTTAGCAGCTGCCACACCAACCACCGAAGGACCTGAGGCCTCGGCCCCAGCCACCATATCCGCAGCCCCCAAAGCCTCCATAGCCACCATAGCCACCAAGGCCTCCATAGCCACCATAGCCACCATAGCCTCCAAATCCACCATATCCTCCATAACTGCCCCCGTAGCCCCCAGCAATGGCAGGGACTCCCGCTGAGCCCACAACGCTGTGCTGTGGGAAGGAGCTGAGGATGGGTCCGGGGAAGGTGACCACTGAGGCCGGGGGCTGGATCACCACTGTGGAGCTCTGGCACTGACGCACGCAGGGCTCATTGGTGGTGTCAGCCAGGGGGCATGGGGCGGCCACCCCACAGGAAGGGACACACAGGCTGGAGCAGGACATTCTTCTCTTCAGGAGGTCAAGCTGCAGGAAAAGACAGAATTATGGTGCAGTACATGGCCTGATGCCAAATCTCTCCTCACTCTCTTCCACTTGAAACTTCTGCTCCAGGAAATCCCTGGATCATCCCAGGCAGTCAGAGAAGAAACGTGAGCTGCAGTTGACATGCTGCTGTAAAAACCTTGCTTTCCTCTATGCTCCCTGGGCCTGACTTGCCCATAGGAGAGAGGAAAACTTTTCCTGACCAAAGCATGTAGGAAACTGCCAAGCTTGCAAGACACTAGATTGCATTGGTGTACACAGAGCATCATACCTATAAGTTCCATATTCACCCTTTCCCTATCTCTTAAAGGGCACCATCACATCTAACTTTTAGCTATGAAAGTGTGGTGGAAAAGACATCAAAAGAAACATTGGGAAAGAAACAGCTGAGGAAGGAAAGAAGGGTATAGGATTTTAACTTACCTGTTTGATGAGGAAAGTCAAGCGGAGGAATCTGGATACAGAGCTGTGAAGCCGTCAGCTCTTTTATACATGTCCCACACTGCCTGGGGCATCAGCCAAAGTGTGGTGACAGAAATCCCAGATCATCATGTAGTACAGTGGACAAGCTTCATGACACAGATAGTGATGTGATACAATTGTGTGCCTCCCAGATGTGGAAACAGGCATGCAAATTTGCTCGGGAGACGAAAGAGATGATGGCAGGGTTGAATATGACACATCACAACATCAAAGACATGGCGCTTCTGTAACTTAATTCCCTGTTCCAATAAACCCTCATCTGCCCTTAATCCCTCACTTCACATGCCAGAAACTATCTTTGGCAACTTGCAGAACATTCCTGTGCCCAGCCACACCAAGCTCAGCAGCCATCCAACCAGACTCCCAGAACCAGCAGTGCCCACCATGCCTCCGACTCCAGCCAATGTGGCCATATCAAACCCTGGAGAAGACCGTGCTCACAGACACGAGGCTGAACCAAATGACAGTGACCTGGCCCCGCTGCTGCACTTCTGCTCCTCCATATATGTGTGTGTGTGTGTTTTCCCATCAGAGGTCTCCTGCGCTCTATCCCACTGCCTGCACATCGCATCTCTTCCAGCCCCCTGTGTGTTTCCAGTTCTGCCATGCATGGACACATCTCCTCTACCCTTTGCACGGCCACCAAGTAAAACCATGACCTAAATATCCCACTGTCCTCCAGACCCATAAGAGCTGGGCAATTCATAGACATGTCTATGGACCCACAGACCGTGACACGCACAGGTCTTGCTGCTTTGGGGGATGGAAGGGATGTCAAAGTCACCACAAATGTGTTGAATAGCTTCTGTATTTACCCAACCTCCTGATGCCTCTGTTTACCAGCCTGTAAAAGGGAGGTAATGAGAGGCATCATGGCTGTGCCCAGGATTGCAAAGCACTTCTGCAAGATGCTCAGGACTCTCCTGCCGAGGCAAAGTGAGGGATTAGGGACAGAGCAAGGTTTATTAGGGCTTCTAACTCAGCTACAGCAGCACCTTTGTTTCATGTCAAGGTGTGTCAAGGTCTCGCCCTCCCATCAGCCTTGTACACTCAGGGGACATTTGCACACCAATGTCCCCAGCGAAGAAGGATATAATTGTCTCACATCATTTTCTGTGTCATGAAGCTTTTCCACTGAGTTTTATGAGACTGAGGGGTTCCTGCCCCCACGCCTGACCGATGCCCCAGGCAGTCTGGGACATGTATAAAAGAGCTGAAAGCCTCACAGCCTCTATCCAGATTCCTGCTCTTGACTCTCCTGATCAAACGGGTAAGTGCAGCTCTTAGAGCCTTTTGCAGATCTCTCCCTGCCTCCATTGACAGAGTTTCTTGCCCTCACCCTTGCCTAATCCCTGATGCATTTTCCAGGACTCCGTACCTGCCTGAAAGATGTCCTGCTCCAGCCTGTGTGCCCCTTCCTGTGGGGTGGCCGCCCCATGCCCAGTGGCTGACACCACCAACGAGCCCTGCGTGCGTCAGTGCCAGAGCTCCACAGTGGTGATCCAGCCCCCAGCCACGGTGGTCACCTTCCCCGGACCCATCCTCAGCTCCTTCCCTCAGCACAGCGCTGTGGGCTCAGCGGGAGTCCCTGCCATTGCTGGGGGTTACGGTGGCAGTTTTGGAGGCTATGGTGGATTTGGAGGCTACGGAGGCCTTGGTGGCTATGGAGGCCTTGGTGGCTATGGAGGCTTTGGAGGCTGCGGATATGGCGGCTGGCGCCGGGGCCGCTCATACCTCAGTGGCAGCTGTGGGCCCTGCTAACCACACACTGGGTACGGCCACAGACATGGGAGAGCTCCAGAAGATACCCTGGCACATCCCGACATGACGCTCTGTGGAGGAACGTTCCTTCGGTACTGCTGGGATCCAGAGCTCGGAAGTCTCTGGCCTGCTTGAAGCCCAGCTCTGCCTTTCTCCTGCCCTGCTTGAGCTTCACTTCAGGACTCGCTGTCCCTTGACAACGCAGCCCCATGCTGCACGCCTGCTCCTGTCGCACAGCTGATGTTCATTCTCGGTGTGCCCACAGCCAGGAGACAGAGGAAGCCCTTTGCCAGGGCCCTGCTCTGCTCCCCGCTCCTTCTCCCTTTAAACTGCAATAAAAGCTGTGTTGCATCGCAGTGTCCGCCCTTGGTTTCATTGCTTCTTTTCCCCACAGACGTTACCCCAAGTAGTTTCCTTTGCTCTCTGGACCACCTTGCAAAGTCCCACCTGGGCCTTGCCAGGGTCGTCTGCGGGACCTGCCTTGCCAACCCCAAGCACCTCCTCATATGCCTTCCCTCCACTGCCTCCATGTTCCTCCATCCCTGCACTAAGTTCTCCTGTACCACATGGAAGGTGGCTATGAAAAACTGCAGGGAAACCTGGGTAGATATGGGACAGATGACCCCTTTTATCCTGGTCTCTCCAGCAATGACCAGCATGCTGCCACGTTGCCCTTGCTGATGCCTTTGACTGGAACTGTCTGTGTGCAAGACCAGTGTGCAAGTGCTGGGATGACACGATGAGGAGTTACCTGGGGAAGGGAGGGACCTCTGATAGACTCCCTTGTTGCAGCACACAACAAACAGGCCCATTGTAAAGGATAGCTTTTGAAGGAAAAAAACATGAGTGAATTTATTTATTGCTTTGTGGTTCCTCTTTCAAAGAGAAACATACAATCTCATCACTTTTTACCACCCTAGATAGTCTGGGGATTTCAATGAACTCAGATGCTCATAGCTATATTTGTAGTTTGTTATTAATCTATTTAAACATTTGTCAGGTGTTTCTTTATGGGATAATAGTCACTCCAAACGTACAAGTTGAGACATTTCAATATATGCTTTACTCAGAGATTTTATAGCCTTCAGATGTTTCATTAAAATGTAGCCCTGTACAAACAACTCTAGTAGATCCTCCAATTAGTTACTCTGCCTTCTAATCCCAGAAATTTGGATTTCTTTCTGGTCTTATCTGAAGATGATATCCTGGAGTGAAAGAAGCGTGTATCTGTGTGGCATTCCATGGATTTCTAACTCTTTCTTCTAACTAGGTCCCTTGTTAAAGCAGCCGAGTCCATAGGTAATCTGTAGTACTAATGAGATATTAGGGATTATTTTAAGCTGATATTGTCTCTTACTTGTGCATTCTGAGAGATATAATACTTTCCAATTTTTACCTATTCATAGCTTTCCATATTTCTTATTTTAGGCTTAGCTCATAAAAAATTGAAATTATGACCACTTCCAGCTGAATTCCACCTTAATGCCAAGATACAGGCTGACCAGCAACTTGCACTGTGCTTCTGCAGGGAAGGTGTCAGGCATCAAAGTGGGTGAGCACTTCCCTACGAACACAGCTCCTCGGAAGGAATGAGAAAGCTCCATCCCAAAAAGCGCTGGTGGTGTAACCCAGTGCTTTACTTGCAAAGGTTTTCAATGAATTTTGTATTATAGCACAATTGAGCTCTGTTCCTCGCGTGAGACTGACCTCAAAGGGCAGCTGTGTGTGTTCAAAGGACAGTAATTACATTCACAATAAGGGTTCTAGGGTTTAATAGAGATTCCAAAGCACTTCACCGGCTGTTTCATGCCTAGACTGCATTACAGCATCGTACTAATAAGAGGTTACTCCTGCTGCCAGTTAGGTCCTTCAGTCATGAATAATAGAGTCACTGCAGACTTGGGCAATGGATCTCACCCTAATAACAACTGTGTGATTGTGCAGCCTGGGAACTTCATGCCATTTCATTGTCATTCAAATGGAGCCTTGCAGTAACACTTACAAACACTTAAGCAGGTGAATGGAAAGAGTGCAGTTTTCTGCTCTATAACAGAACCAGGTCTCTAAGCCCAGAAGCCATTCCAGACACTGCCAGCACAAAAGCTCTTGAAAAATAGTGATTCTCTCCCAACTTCTTGGCTTATTCCTCAGTTAAATTGGGTTTTCCTGCAGCCATTCAAAAGTGCATCTGCAAATCACTAAGATGTGGTGCTGTTATGTCCAATGTGTGTACACACACTGTCATCCTGAAGTTAATATTTCCAAATCCTTCCTAGGAATTTCCAGAATGGGTGGCTTCATTTTCTGAGATTTTACTGAGTTTTTAGTTTTCAAAATCTGTGCTCAGGTTCAGCTGACATCCATAAGAGCTACAGTGTGCAGTACGTCACCGTAAAATGTATCAAGCAGGGGACAAAAATCTGTGCACATCCAAATGAGAATAACAAAAGCTGGGACATGTGATGATGCTATAACTTTTAATAAGAATAAAGGTAACAGTCACAATCTAAAATAATACAAGAAGCAGAAGCAGAAAGAATGCATACAGAGTTTTTATCTGCAGAAAATCTGGTTTCATTGGTACTGTTTTTGCTGCTATAGCTGTAGCATTGGACTATCAATTTCCATTTTCAACCTTTTGCACTTGCTTTCAGTCTAGTGAAACAAATCAGATCAGATGATTTACTGTTTCTTTGTACAGCTTCAAAAGCAGTTAAGTCAACAACATATCCATAGGAAGGCTAGTGCAAGTACACTCTAGATTTCATTAATGTTAGCTGGCAAAGCGACAAAAGTCAGTTAAGAAGCTGTTCATGTTAAGCCCGGCTTCCTTTACACCACCAAACTCATGGAGGGTTAAGAAGTCTGTAGGAAAGAAGGAAGACATTTTAGAAGCACACTGAAGAAGTTTTACAGAAACACTGATCTCTCCAAAATACTACAGCTTTCAGTTATAGTCCTGGACACAGAGCTTCTGCAAACCCTCCCCTTTAAGAGCAGCTGTGAATCCATTATATCCTTCTTGATTTAGCAGGGGTAGCAGCTCCCATAGCTGTATCTACGGATGTAGCGAGAAGAGTAGGGGTAGCAGTAGCGAGAGCTATAGGAAGGGTAGCAGTCACGGTAACCGCACAGACTCCCATAGCTCCGGTAGCCACAGGGGCTCCCACAGTCGTAGGTCCGGTAGCTGCAGGGGCTTCCACAGTCGTAGGTCCGGTAGCTGCAGGGGCTTCCGCAGTCGTAGGTCCTGTAGGTGTACACGGTCCCATAGTTGCAGGGTGAGTAGCAGGAATCCTCACACTGGGTCTGGTAGCAGAAAGTCATCTTGATGGGATGGAGGGAGGCAAGCCTAAAACACCACAGGGAAGGAAAAGCCTGTAAGACAATGTTTCCAACAGCAAGCAAAACCCAAATAAATGGCGCAAGCATGCAGGGAAGAAAGAGCCAGCAAAAACGATGGGAGATGTGATTGTGAACCGCGATGCCTGTGTCAAAAAGAAGCTGTCAGGAAATAAGCTGGAAAATCCCTCATAGCTGTAGTGAGATGAAGACTTAAAGGGAAAAGAGGGATATGTGCAGAACTGTCACAGTTTCAAACTCTGAAATACCAAAGAAAATCCAGGCAGGAAAGAATATCTTACATATAAATAATTCTCATCAAATCACGACCCTAATTCCCAGTGAATTCATCTACAACACTCATAGATTAGTAACTGGAAGGGGGGGAAGAGAGGGAAAATTGTATCGTTACTCGCTAGGATTCCTAAATCTATGCCAACTTACCCACTCTGCAGTGAGAATAAGGCAGGAGAAGTGAATGCATTATCCTCGGTGGTTTGGGGTTTTTATAGAGCTCCTAGTCCCGCCTCATGCATGAAAGGGTCCAATTACCAAACACATTTTGCTTCCGCCATGACTCCTCATTGATATACCGGTTCTCCCCAGGGTTTCTGATTATTGGTCCAGCACTGTGACATACAGGTTACACCCTCCAGGTTCCTTTCATCTCAAAACTACGAGGGCAATTAAGCCTTGGTATCATCATGCTGAATTCACTTCTTCAGTCCAGCAACATATGCAAAGATGTATAAATTGCCAAACATCATTTTCGGCAGGCTGGCCTCACTGTGCATGTTGGTCCATGTGCTTTTTGGTACAGGTATTTTTCCTGAAATGCTTGTGGAAGGGGGAGCCTCTCATTTTCATGTATTTCATAACTTTAATGATGCATGAAACAGCACGTTCCTACCAATCCCTTCCAACATTTCCTGTGACTAGCAAAGTGGGTAAGACCTTTGCATTGATGCTGTCATGGAATATGATATTGCTGTGCTCACTGATTCAGCTAGAAAATTGGTGTAGAAGCATTAAAAAGGCATGTACATGACGTATTTTCCGAGAAAACACCTTTCCAAGACTCAATTCTCCAGCTATGAATTACATCCTTAATAAAGCCTAGAAACAGAATAACGTGATACACGTTTTTAGAAACTGTGTTACATAATGCTGGGGCGTTTTCCCCTAACGTAGTATTAATATTTAAATAATAAATCTCTTTGTACATGTGAATCTTTAATAAGTATTAATGAAGGCTTTGATATTCAAAATTTTGAGAAAGGCCCTGAACGTCTGACATGTCTGTTATTATCCTTCCCTTAAGATGCAAGTAAACAGCAGTGTTTTGAGGTGAAGGTCACCAGGGAAGACCGGGATGTTGCTGCTTTACCAGGTCACATCCACAGGGCTCAGCATTATTCACCGTCATTAGCAGCATTAAGTTAAACACCTCAACAACATCAAGAAAATGTCATGTTAAACTATATTTAGCAGTTGGGGGACTCCTTAGGAAAACTTCTGTTATTACACATATATGTTCCTGTTTGGCTTATCTTGTTCTTTTGTAATGAATCCCTGAGTGAATCATTTCTGATCTAAGCATAAACAATCTCTAAGGAGATATTTTTGGATCCATAAAATTTGCCTAGATTGCGTTGACTCTCCAGGAGCCTGAATTTGTCAGTTTATTTTATATATTATGCAATTTAAAATTTCAAATATCCTTTAGATTGATTATTTATTGCTACCTGCTTCAGGGTTCTCCTAAAGTCTTGTCAGTGACTCTAATTTACTCAGATCTATTTCCACCATTCTTACACCAAAAAGGACCCCAGTTTCCTTCTATGCAGACAAAGGAGCTGGCTGTTGAAGTCTGGTAAAAGTAATTGATAGAGCATTTCTAGCAGGCAAATCTACATGAATTTCCTGTGAAGGTCACAATAAACAGTTAACATATCCATGCATATTTGATTGCAGCAAGGTACAGACCAGATGCGTCCTCTAATCCAACCACCTTTCTTGTACTTCTGTTATTGGGTTGGATATAACACAAATGATATTATAAATACAAATACTGCTAATATTCTGACCTAAAAATGCAATTTTGAAATTAAAAAAAAAAGAACAACCAAACAAGAAATGCTTTCTAGGGATTATTATTTCTGAGGAAAAAAATAACTCTGAAATTCCTCTTTCCTCAAACCAATCCAGAGTCATTGCAGGCATCATACACTGAAATTCATCCATTCCTCTAAAATTGGGATTATGAACATCAATCAATTCTGCTCTCAATATCCTTCCTTCCCTTTCCTGTTATAACTCAGATTTCACCACACTAATTCTACAAATATAATTCACCCAGGAAGTCCGAACATGAAAGAAAACTGCAATGCAATGTCATACTTTTGGAAGCCAAGAACTGACTAATGATCACAAACCAAGAAAACAATTACATCAACTGAAGGAATGACGTGCATAAGTAAATTTGTTTTGTGATGAATAGGAGTTTAAAGCACAGTAGGCTTGGTCAGATAAATATATAAAAGGGAGAGAAATTCAACACTCTCTACTCGCATCTTCGGATTTACGTTCTCACTGAACTTGGTAAGTCGGGCTTACTACAATGTCTTTATTTCTGTGTAGATGCTGTGTTTTTACTATATGGTTATACAGACAGCAGTTATACTTTAAAAGCAAAGGCTTTTTCCAGAAAAGGCTGTGATTTCACAGCAAGCACAATTCATTTTGTTTAAAATGGGATATATGCCTACATAAGCTTAGAAGATTGTGTCATCTAGCGATGCACTGTGAGAAATTGTCTTTATTTATGATATAGTGAAGCCTTTGAGGCTTCTTTATTATGAAGCAGAAGACATATTACATATTTTTTCATTATTTTGAACAAAACGTAAGTATATTCAACTGGCAATTAAAGCATGGACACGGGTTCAAACAAACAAGCTGCTTTTTTCAGCAGAGCTTTGCACAAGAAGAGTTCTTCTGTGGTGTCTTGTCTCAATGGCAAGAACTGACAGAATTCATTCCTGATCTAGTGTCTGTTCACTGATGGTTTTTAGAGAAGCATCAGACACTGATACAATCTAATCCTAACAAGATCCTATCTCATATGCCACTTGAAAACAGACTGCCAAATCTAAGCAATGGTAACAAGCAGCATAAAATATTTTTATGGCGCAAACAAGGGGGAAAACCAGAAAGGAGTGAGCTGGGCAAGGAGTCAGGGTATAGCTTTGAATGGAGGTGTTGGACTGGTTCCCATGTTTGCACTTCTTTCCTCCCTCTTTCTTATACTTACATAGGTTTTTCTAGAAGCAGCTAGCATCCTCTTGATCTCTGGGTCAGACCTTATCTTCTTCTCTTCTGCTGTGTTTCAGACTTGCCTCCCCATCCGTCACACCAAGATGACTTTCTGCTACCAGACCCAGTGTGACGATTCCTGCTACTCACCCTGCAACTACGGGACTGTGTACACCTACAGGACCTATGGCTGTGGAAGCCCCTGCAGCTACCGGACCTACGACTGTGGGAGCCCCTGTGGCTACCAGAGCTATGGGAGTCTGTGCGGTTACCGTGACTGCTACCCCTCCTACAGCTCTCGCTACTGCTACCCCTACTCTTCTCGCTACATCCGTAGATACAACTATGGGAGCTGCTACCCCTGCTAAACCCAGCCGTAGAACAACCAGATAGGAAATGAAAGGCAAAATAGTAACGTATGAATTTTACCTTTGCTAAGCTTCTGTGACAGCGACTGCAGTCAGGAATGGTCCTCAGTGCTTAGCACCTCTCTTCAATGTCTGCAGCTACTTTGAGTAACTTGCTATTAGGGTGAACTCTTCCTTCATAACCTTTGGATGTACTGTGTAGTTTGATGTGTAGCTTTACAACAGAAGATGCAGAGAGGAGAAGACATCTCGTCTTGCCATATAATGTGCTGACAGCTCTGCTCCAAAAGCATCTACTGTGCAATCTTGTGACTCTGTTTAAAGGATGTGTGAATCCCTGAATGCTTCTCTTCTCTACTACTACAAGCTGTAACTGCTTCTTACTCTCATTAAAAGATCTTGCATCACAATACTGCTTTTTGTTATATATTTTTCTTTTATATTTGACTTTACTAATTATTTACCTGAAACATGGCAAAAAAGGAGGCACAAGCTTCTCACATCTGCAGTTTTAAGCATCCCCTAGAATCTGAGGTGACAGAGGATGTACTGAGCACTTTCATTTCTGTTTCCTACAGGACAGTCCTAAAATCTCACGTCTGCCATGTCCTAATTCTGCCCCTCTTCCACCAAACACACCAAAACACTGTTCATTTCCAAAATACTAGCTTAGAAATAAAAAGATTTAAGAAAACTAAATCAGTGTTTACTGACTACATTCCAGCCCAAGTTATGTTACATTTGAGGATCCAAAATTCACTGAGACCCAAATTGCTGGACTATGTCAGCTTTCTGCAGCTCTGAAGTAGGTAACCAATATGAGAACACACATGAGCTCACATTCATCTCCTCCCAATGTGTTTCAAGATTTCAATATTGCTATTTCTCCACCAGAGGTTACTTTGCACAGTCAGGCTGCATCCCCAGCAGGTTGAGGAAGTGGATTCCTCTCCTCTACTCCACTCTGGTGACACAGACACATACATACACCTGCAGTTCTATGTCCAGCTCTGGGGCATCAGCGTAGAATCATAGAATAGTTTGGGTCGGAAAGGACCTTAAGATCATCTAGTTCCAGCCCTCCTGCCATGGGCAGGGACACCTCACACTAAACCATCTCACCCAAGGCTTTGTCCAACCTGGTCTTGAACACCGTCAGGGATGGAGCATTCACAACCTAATAAGAAGGACATGGAGGTTTAAGGTCCCTTCTAATGCAAACCATTCTAGGATTATATGACTGTATGATGTCTTGTGAATGAGCTGTGAGCTTAGTCCTTCCTGTCACTGCCCTGGCTGGGCTGGCTTTCTGGCATGCATTCTGTAATCATCTGCCAGCCTTCACCATCAGCAAAAACTGTTCTACAAAGGAAGCGCAGAAGCATGCAGATTCCAGATAAGGAGAGGCTTGGAGGGGAAGCCTCTTCTTCCCCGTAATTACCAAGAGGACATGTGATAGGTAGGAGGAAGAGTTGCTTAAAGCAAAAGTGGCTACCAGCTTGATGACAAAGGGGTGAATCTACCAGGACTGTTCCCAGGCAGGAGCCATCTGGAGCCACAAGAATACTGAGTTTTGCAAGTGATTTCCAACAGGAAATGCTCCTTCTCCTGGTCTGCAGGAGCTTCAGTTCTCCAGCTAACACTGATCTGCATGTAAGAGGCACAATTACGGACTATGATGCTGACTTTCTCTGGTGGGTAGACTGCAAAGAAAGGGATTGCTGTAGGGTTTCCTTCCTCATCCCGTAAGTGCCGGTTGCCACCAACTCCCAGCAGAAGTGAGGCTCATGTGAATTTGCATCCACGTAAAAGCAGAGCATAGAAATGAAGCAGAACCTAAACACTTATTCAACAGGTTATTCAAGAGGTTGGAGAGGAGTCTGTGTAAGAGAAACCTGAAGAAAACAAACCCACAAGTCCTGGGGGAGCTGCCAGAAGCACGCATCAAACCGTGCTTTGAAAATTCACCATTCTGTTCTACAGTAACTGGTACTTCTGGAAACTTATTTTGGACCAATTACCTATATTCACTGTGCTCAACTGTTACATTAATTTCCTTTTACTGGAAACATTTTCATCTAACAATCTAAAAATGCAAATCAAGGTTTCCCTCAACTGGTCATGAAGTGCAAATTCAGCATCTGAAGGTTTTTGTTGGTTTTTTTTTTTATTATTTTTTAAAAGTAACTGTGGCTTATGCATAGATTTGTTTTAAAAGTTAAAGAAAAGTTACCAGTCGATGCATTATATCATAGACTTTTCTATTTCAGAATAACAAAGCAATTGGTAATTGTTTTTCAATTCCTTTTTAACTTACTCAAAATATTCAGGTTTAAGTTTTGTTCATAATGCAAAAAAAACTGCAAATTTCTGTGAAATGCCATTCATTATTTTAAAAAAAAATTAAATTGCTAGATTTATTTAAATAAATATTGTAAGTCACAACATGTTGTCAGAAGAAATGGGGAAAAGTGGATTACAACTCAGGAAATTATGGAGGTTTTCAAAACACACATGTATAGCCTATTTGCATGTATTTAGAATTACGCATCATTGCTATATAATTACATATATTATTTCTAGATAAGCTTATTACTGACATGATAGGAGATGAAATAACTATGCATTTGATACAATAAGAGTTAAAGAAAAATAGAAACATAGATCTTGAAAGAAAATGCTAACATTGTTCATTAAGTTTTTCAGAAGTTCTTTTTAATACCATTTTTAAAATATTTATGGTAATTCTGGTGTAAAATCTACCGCAGTCCAGATGGAAAAATACATCAAACAAAGGCGTAACATAGGAGAAATCATTTGACAAATGAAAAAAGCAAAAAGCAATTGAAAACTTGTAGCAATTAAGACACTTAAACCTGTAATGTTCTTGTGAATCACGGCTCTTCACTGAATGTCTTAATATGTTTCCCTCTGTGAATTTGACTCCATCTTTCTATAATTACCAAGATTTTTTATGAGTTGTATTTCCAGTTACTGATTGAACACTGCTGCATGTCTTGAAGTCTGTTTAGGGTACTTCTCTATATTACTTAGATTTGTAGGTACAGAAGTTCAGGCACTATTGAACTGACACTTCCTAAGCTCAATTTCTGATTTTCAATATTAGGGACATCAAAATATTCCATGAATTTTGAGCACTTGGATAACTTTGGAAAACCTCATATATGTGTTTATGTATTCCAGGACAATTAATAGCCATTCCAGTGCTCCTCAGGTGTTTGTGAGGGACCTGACCTCAGCCACAACGCAACAGGTTTCTTGGTCACTCCAAAATTATGATCTTCTGACCTGTGCAAATAGCAACACTAAATTTTTCTGTTCACGTCACAACTTGAGTTAATATAATTGGTTTCTTCAACGTCAGGGATCATTATTTCTCATCTTGACGATGCAAAGTTATGAGCCTCCTTCATCTTAAAAACTTTTTGGGTAATTCTCACTCCTAATTATAAAATCAAGATACCAAAATAGGCAAGAGAATGACAGATCCTCAGGCTAGAGATGGCTGAGAATCAAAATTCATCTGTTTGGGGTCTTTTTAACATATTAAAAATGTATGTAACCTGAATTATGTCAGCATTTCCTAGAAGGAAAAGTTCCATACATTTACATCTATCTAATATACATTTAAAAATAAACCCTAGTGCACCCCTTCTTCCTCACAGAATGAAAAATCCCAATCCTAGATTAATAGAGGATGTAAAAGCATTTTATGCCACTTTGCCTCTTACTTGTACCTCTCAAACTGAGGTTTGTATCTGAGAAAAAAAATAGGTATTTCCTCCTCTTCCTCTAAAATAATTTTTGTTTTATACTTTTAGTATTTCCTTTCAGCTTGGTTCACTATCAAAACACAGGGACTTTATAGAAGTTCAGCATTCATTTGGGTAACAATTTCAAACATATATTAATAGGAAGGAGGAAGAATTAATCACAGAGTCTATACTTTGTCATTGCATCTGCTCATACCATAATAAAACTCTTTCAGGATATCACCAAAGCAAATGTAAATTAAATTCTGTGACACTGATGTTATCAGAATATTGAGAAGTTAAAATTACACATATTCTTTTACAACAAATCTTATTGATGCTGGCTTTCAACCTCATCAAACACCAGCTTCCCAAAGGAAGCAGAGCACAAAATGTAAAGTCAAGAGCCTTTTATTTTAACTCAACAAATACCTCCTTGCATGACCTTCACTGCAGTGAGCCATTCCCCATTTGCATATTTAATGAGGATAATAACAGGCATTCAAGAAGTGCTGAGCCTCATCAGAATTTATGGTATCAATGTTTTTCCAAAACAGTCATTAAAACTTACTTTAGAAATGTTTGTATTATTTAAATATTAATGGATTGTTGCTGAAAAGTGCCTTGATGTTGGACAATAAACAGCAAGGGAACCCCTAGGTTAAGCACTGTTTCTTTTTATTAAAACTAAGGCACTACAGACATCGTCCTCACTCGGTGTTGGCAGAGATACAGCCATATCTCATCACATCACAGACTGCTTTGCATCAAAGGGGCCTTAGAGCTCATCCAGTTCCACCCCCCTGCCACAGGCAGGGACACCTCAGACTAGACAAAATTGCTTCAAGCCCTGTCCAACCTGGCCTTGAGCACTGCCAGGGATGGAGCAGCCACAGCTTCCCTGGGCATCCTGTGCCAGGGCCTCAACACCCGCACAGTAATTGACTGGATAACACCACCACAAAAAATCAAGAGTGATTTCTCCATTCCTGGCTTAGAAAAATCCATTCTGTAGTGGGCCACTTATAGCACTTCATAAACCTTTTTATTATACTAAAGCCCAATGCAAAGCATGAGAATTCATAGGACCCTTCACTGCTAGAGGGTGTCCATCCACCCTCCCCAGCAAATGGTTCCCATCAGTCAGGAACCCATGGTCTCCACCCTACTGGAAACCTTCCACAGCTTTCCTAAAAGTCTTAAAAGGCTGTTCTCCTTTTCTTTACTGCAGCCCCTGTGGTAGACCAAAAGAAAACCCAGATTTTTCTGCACCACCAGAACCTGCAGTGATACTGCCCCAGTATAATATATGCATTTATGCATCTCATATATATATATACCATATAAATCATAGAATCATAGAATGGTTTGAGTTGGAAAGGACCTTAAAGTTCATTCATTCCCAACTCCCTGCCATGGGCAGGGACACCTCCGACTAGATCAGGTTGCCCCATCGAACCTGGCCTTGAGCACTGCCAGGGATGGGGCAGCCACACCTTCTCTGG